TAGAACATCCCCATTGTCTCAGTGTGTGGGTGCACCCCTCGCAGTCCTGAGTTCCTTGCTCGTGCTCTCTCTCCTTCTGCTCCTGATTTGGACCTTGAGATTTCAGTCCGGTGCTCCAATGTGGGTCTCTGTCTCTGTCTCCTTTCATCGCCTGATGAAGGTTAATATTCAGGAGGATGCCTATATGTTTTTCTTTGGATTCACCTTCTTATTTAGCTTCTCTAGGATCGCAAATTATAGGCTCAATGTCCTTTATTTATGGCTAGAAACCAAATATGAGTGAGTACATCCCATGTTCCTCTTTTTGGGTCTGGCTTACCTCACTCAGGATAGTGTTTTCTATTTTCATCCATTTGTATGCAAAATTCAAGAAGTCCTTGTTTTTTACTGATGAGTAGTACTCTAATATGTATATTTCCATACTTTCTTCATCCATTCTTCCATTGAAGGGCATCTAGGCTGTTTCCAGGTTCTTGCTATTACAAACAATGCTGCTATGAACATAGTTGAGCATATACTTTTGTTGTATGATAGGGTCTCTCTTGGGTATATTCTCAAGAGTGGTATTGCTGGGTCCAGGGGTAGGTTGATCCCGAATTTCCTGAGAAACCGCCACATTGCTTTCCAAAGTGGTTGCACAAGTTTGCATTCCCACCAGCAATGGATGAGTGTACCCCTTTCTCCACAACCTCTCCAGCAAAGGCTATCATTGGTGTTTTTTATTTTAGCCATTCTGACAGGTGTAAGATGGTATCTTAAAGTTGTCTTGATTTGCATTTCCCTGATCACTAGGGAGGTTGAGCATGACCTTAAGTGTCTTTTGGCCATTTGAACTTCTTCTGTTGAGAATTCTCTGTTCAGCTCAGTGCCCCATTTTATAATTGGGTTGATTAGCCTTTTACGGTCTAGTTTCTTGAGTTCTTAGCTTAGCAAAGACATTTTAATTGTAAGACTTAGACTCCTAGGATAGGATAACTATTGAAACATTTAGCATTTGTTTCTTTCTTGATTTTGTTCATGCTGATTGTAATTCTAATTTTTATGTATGTTTTTGTCTCCTTTTCCCTGGACAATACTATGTATTTATTCTTATTGTCTATAGTTTTGTATTAGACTCAGAATCCTCTTATTTAGACAAAAGGGGGAGGTATTGTGGGAACTCCTTCAGCCAATAATAGCCTTTTAGATACTGCCCATTTTGAGCACCGTCTCAGGTATTGTAAGTGCAGACAGGAAGCATGTGTGGTCTCTTTTTTTCTGCTGGATTCAGTTCCCAGTTTCCAGCGCACACAGAGGACTGCAGATCGCTACCCTTACTGTGAATTTATCCCCAAATAAATAAACCTTTGTTATACTCCATTCCCGGCTATTGTGGAACTCTTTGATTCACCTACAGAAGACTCTGGATTTCAGATCATCAATAGCACCACTATGAATAAGGTATTGCCATCTTTGTTTTGTTTTTGAAAGTGTACACAGGCTGGATATGAATATGTGAGAATTCTCCTGCCTCAGCCTCCAGAGTGCAGGTACGGGTCACGCCCGTCCCACTCCTGTCATCCTTAACCTTTGAATGGAAAAACCAGCAGGCATTAGGTTTTTTTTTTTTTTTTTTTTGATTTTTCGAGACAGGGTTTCTCCGTAGCTTTTGGTTCCTGTCCTGGAACTAGCTCTTGTAGACCAGGCTGGCCTCGAACTCACAGAGATCCACCTGCCTCTGCCTCCCGAGTGCTGGGATTAAAGGCGTGCGCCACCACCGCCCGGCTTAGGTTTTTTTTAAAAATATTTATTTATTTATTATGTATACAATATTCTGTCTGTGTGTATGCCTGCACCAGCAGGCATTAGGGTTTTAGAAGAAGTCAAATGGCACATCCCAGAAGTTTAATAGAAGAAATGGCATTTATACAGTGGGATGGAGGCAGGAGAGGGACAAAGCAGAAAAGATTACCAAAGTGCCCTGGGAAGTGACAGTGACCTGTTGAGAAGGATGGAGTCAGAGGAGGGCCAATTAGATAAGCGCTGTTGGCAATGCACTGAATATTCATAACTAGATGCCCCAGAATTGGTACTGAAGACTGGAGTCAGTGGAGGGAGAAACTTGCAACCCGAGAAAACCCAGCCCAGGGATTGAGTAAATAGAACGAGAGAGCACAGGGTTCAGGTCTGACCTTCTCCTTCCTCAACAACTGTGACAGGTTAGCACAGTTACGGAGTCCTGGAACAGACTCTGTAGAACAGACAAGCCCCAGTGACACAGATCCTAACATCACATGCACTTCCTATTTAGATGGCAGCCCCATGTGCTCCCTGCTCCCATCTTGCTCACAGTGATGCCATCTAGCTTTGCAAGAGCTCTAGATTTCCAAACACAGACAGGACCAAGGCCATGGTAAGCCCTGTCAGGGTGAGTGTGGAGATATTCAGTCCGTGTTGTTTGGGCACAGGTTCTGCTACATAACCTTTGCTGACCTGGAACTCACCATGTACCCAAGGTTGGGCCATCCTACCTCAGCCTCCCCAGTGCTAGGATATGTGCTGTTCCACCGCACCACTTAAGACCATGTTTTAAAGGGCTGGGGCACAGGTTAAGCTGTGCAGTGGTGGTGAATACCTTTAATCCCAGTACTTGAGATGCAGAAGCAGGAGGATCTCTGAGTTTGAGGCCAGTCTGGTCTAGAAAGTGAGTTCCGGGACCAGTAGACTGTTACACTGAGAAAACTTGTCTTGAAAAATAAAAACAAACAAACAAATAAGGGAGAGTACAGAGTATGAGGAGGAGTGAGGAAAAGGCAGACAACCACCAGCTTCCTTGTAAGGGACACAACTACCAGCTTCCTTGCAGGGGACATGTCTGTGATCACTGCACTTGCAGCTGCTAAAAGCCAAATCTATTTCAGGCATTGCTAGACAAGTTGGAGCCTTGAGAAAGAAACTGACTTTCTGTTAACAAATCATGACTTGGGAATAACACACATCTTCGGTTTGACAAATAGAAACAAATACCTACCTCTTACTAGAGCCTTATGTGCAATTTTAAGATATGCAAATCACTAGGCCCAACACGAGTTCAATAAATAACGACCATTACTCCTTCTATTGTTAAGCCTACAAAGACTCCAGCATAAATGACTGTTCTGTTTGAAGACATATTTGTTACTGCAAATACAGACATTGTAAGAAGGAATTCTTTCACAGGTGACTTAGTAAATCACGGGTAAAGGTATCACCCAACTGAATCCTAAATTTAATCTTATCACAGTCCTATATGCAGAGTTACTGGGAAGGAGCCTAAGCGGAGGCTCAGCTGGGTGGACCAGTGTGGGAAAACTGACACCCCAGCTGTCCTTACACCTGCTCAGTAGTTGCTCCCCAGACAACAGCAATAACGTTTTAGGCTTGCGGCTATGAGACAAGTTCAAACAAAGACAACTTTTGTTTTGCAAATCAAAATTGATGCGTAACTTTATTATTTTCTCCCCCAATTTTTATTTTGGAATAAACAAAGACTAAATTAAATTTCCCCCAAGAAACATCTAGAGGTTTTTCCTTTTCAGAATTGTGACATGAACAAGTTTTGCCCCAGGTAATCACCTTCAGTCACTGTGGGGGGTTAGCCCCATTCTGCAGATTTCTGTGTTATCTTATTTATGCCCAGCTTAGAGAATGTTAATATAAACCTTGCCCATGTCACTCGGTCCATCATTCTTACTCAGACAGTTTCTCAGCAGCTCCTTGATGGAGACACAATCCTCCGTCTCCAGCACAAACTGTTCCACAGCCTTGCGTCCCGGCAGCTGGCTCTCCACCATCACCCTTCTGACACTCTCCAGGACAGCACCTCTGATGGCCTTAGGCCTCCCAGGGACACTGAAGACGATAAACAGGCCCAGACAGTCCTCTCCCACCAGGTTACAGAACTCTTCCAGCTTCTCAAATCTGCCTCTCTTCCAAGACTCCTCTCCCTTTGACTCACAGGATTTGGGGTCCCACAGAGGAGGAGGGGTGGCCATCCTCAGGGCCTGCACTGCCACCTGAAGCCGTATCTGCTTATCAGGTCCCCAGAAGGTCCAAATCCAGTCTGCCCCGAACAGCAAAGCCTGGTGCTTGGTCATCCGGGTGGTGGTGAGCCACTCATCGGCCCCCCTCTCCTGGCAGAAAGTGATGAAGTGGACGAGGAAGAGCTCACTCAGCGTACCCGCAGCAAGGCCGAGACTGCTCAGTGGATACTCAAACCCGAGGTACTCCTTCAGCTTCTGCGCAGCGTGGGCAACAGCTGCACTGATCACCTCGCACATGGCGAGAACCTCCTGCCTGTCCTTTGGAGCCAGGCTTCTTGGAGCCTGCTGGGAGGAGGCCTTTTGTCCCATTTCCCCCTGCCCCCAGGAGATGCTCCTCTTAGCTATCAGACATGGGAATGTCACCAGGAACCGCTTCTTTTTCATAGGAGGGCTTCTTCATCAAACCAAGTCTGTTGAGACTGTCCCCAGCTTCCTAATGCCATGGCTTTTCTTGGTGTGGCTAGCCATATAGACCTGAGGTTGGCAAACATGTGAGGGCTTCCTGTTTGACAACTGGGTGTGTTGTGCTCACAGATTCCTGCCGCCTGCCGAGTGACAAATGACAGTTTCACAAAAAACACCTGTTCTTCACCTGGTTATGGAGATCTTTGTAAACTCTGCCTAAGTGTGGTTCCAGTCAAATGAAAACCAATACGCAAGCGTACAGGTTGGAGTCATACATCCTCTCTCTCAAGCCAATATCTCCAAGTCTCCAAGTCCCCTCTGCCCTGACCCTTCGTTCCCCAAGTATGCTATGCTGATCATCTTTCCTTTTCTATATACTTCTTAAGTAGAGATCTCAGCTTGTCTGTGATTCATGCTGTGAACCCAAACAAACAAGCAGGCGAGCTTATATATAATAGCCTGTTGTGCTACCAGGAATAAGACCTTGTTTTTCTGAACAAAGGAACAGTAAATAATGACAATGAAAAACACAAGGCAGTTATCAATTGACTTTATTTCTTTTCATAAGGAAATGCCAACAGTGCATAATACTTTCGTAAATAAAATATATAATCAAAAGCTTTTATCTTTATCACATATCATCGGTTGTTACATTGTCCTTAATAAAGAGTATTTGGCATCTGTAACAGTCTGCTGGCATTTTCAACCAGGGTCCAATAACAAATTGAGCTTTTCAAATGGTGATATTTATTCATGTTAAACTAAAATCCCAGTACAGGAAGAAGCCAATAACGTCACCACTCATGAACAGGAGCATTCAAAGGAAATCAGGGTTAGCATCAGATGGTTTCGGTCAGAATAAAGAGTGGCGTTACAACCTTCACAGTGCACAGCTTCATGATCTGCTGAGCATATAGAAGGAATACTGCTCACATTTAGAAATGGTTATCACCAAATCTATTACCATACACTGAACTGCCCCCTGTACCCCAGTGTGTGAGCTCCTGTCTGTACACAGTTGGTCTCGTTATGTGCCATCCTGGATAAAAAACAGATTGTCCCAACACCGCTGAAAACACACACATACACATGCCACAGGAACAGCTGCTCTCGGTTTCCTCTTTTCTTTACAAAGAGCTTTAGGGCCGTGTGCTACAGAAAACATGAGCAACATGCCACCGGACAGGAAAACCATTAGAAAACATTCTGCAGCTTCAGAGTTTTGGATCCTGACTGAAATCACCCGGAGCCCCCTAAGCTGACAGTGTGAGTGTAAGGTTCAGTCGGCATGGCGAGGCGGGCTCCTTAGTTAGCGTCATGGTGCATCCGGCAAAGAAGAAAATGAGAGGCTTAATACGCAAAGGTTCTGTTTTGGTCTGGGTTTTTCCAAAGTCATTCTAACAGAAACTTTCCTGAGGGGTATAAGGGCATCCAAAGATCCTTTATAAAGCAAATGGGGTCAAGATTAAAGCTGAAGCTTTTAAACTGCTCCATGAGTTTGTGGGAATCACGTGAAAATGTATCAACGGAGGGAAAAGGGGACTGAGATCCTCAGGAGTCTGCTGGTATATAAAAATTGAGAACACTGGGGTTTGTTTTTAATACGATCTTTGGATCCTGTGTCACAAAATAAAAGTTCTGTTTTCTATATACTGTATATATACACACATATTTAGAAAAATATATAAAAATAAGACAGTCAGAAGCCAGTGGAGGTGCGTGGCATTTAGCGGCACCGGACGTGGTGAGCACTTGGATCTGGAGAGCAGCACGTTCAGCTTAGACGGCTGCAGGGAACACTGATGTGGCCAAACCTCCGTCCCGTGGATGTGAATGAAGCACTCTGGCAAAACACCCAACCTTAAACGACGCAACACGTTAAATAGAAAATATCACAGACTTTACATTAAATAGAGGCAGAGCAAGCAGGCTTCCGGTCACCAGCGTCTCGGGATTCTTCAGAATTGGCACCGTTCCCCTGCGTGACAGCCCCACTTCCGAGGGAGCAGAAGTCAGCAATTAACGATGCACAACCTGCCACCTGTTGCACACGCTATTTCAAAGACAGAGTTGGAAAGCGACATCTGTGCGCCTGATCCTGCCTGGGTGCTGTCTGGGTCAAACGTTGGAGTCTTCGTCTGTGATGCTGGCACTGGGGGAGCGGGCAGCAAAATCTTTAAACATGTCGTCTTCCTTTAACATGTGCTGGAAAACAAGGGACAGAGCTCAGCACCACACACCTGCCAAGGTGGGCATTCGTGGCTTTGGATGCTTTTAGAGTAACACTTTCAACTCCCTGTCCACACTTACTGTGAGATTGTTGATGCCTTCGGAGAATGCCCCGATCTGCCTCACTGTCCCTTCTGAATCCTCCATCTGCCAAGAACAAGCCACAATGTGACAAACTCACTCGCACACTTTCAGAAGGGCAAAGAAATCCACCAAAGGAAAGCAGGAAGAACGTAAGCAGCACAGAATGCGGCAGAGGCCACAGGGATCCTGTGCCTCTGCGTCCCCTCTGAAGACACTTCCCAGGCACCGACGACAAAGTACACCAAGTGCTGAGGACAGCACCGGATGCAGGCGGCAACCTGCGGGATTCAGAATACTTCACGATTTTTATTTTCAGGCATGTGAAGACGGCACGCTTCATGACTGACAGCGTGCAAAGCTTCCATGGTGTATCTGAGTGCCTGTGCGTACGCAGTGCAGGGCTTACCTGCTCTAACCGATCCAAATCATCCTCTTCATACAGGCGCATGTCCAAGCCAGTTCTAAAGCCCTTCTGGGAGCTACTCCCCGAAGTGTGGCCCAGTTCCATGGGACAAACATATTCCTCTCCGTCTTCTTGCTTCTTCTTTCTCAGGTTCCCGAAGTTGCTAAAGGTCAGTTTCTTTGGCTTTAAAAACAAACAAAAAAGGCACCAGGAATTTGATAAAAGTCCTCTGACAAAGGACTAATAACAAGTCTAAGTTCATTATTCACTTCATCACACAAAGCAAGCAGCCTGGACGATCAAACCATCACAAGAAAGCCAGAAGCACCCTGGACACACAAGCCATGCACCATGGCCTTGGTGTAACTCTCAGAAGGTGAATCTCACTGTGAGGACACAGACTGGACATGCCAAGACCCTTTGTTTGCATTAGACAGGATTTAACACAATAGATTGCCTCTCAGAGATGAGTCAAATTGTGCAAAATGAGTCAATCTAAGATTAGAAAAAGACGGTGATCCTAACTGGTCTAGCGGCACAGGCCTGCCCGCAGCCACAGCTACACAGCTACTTGGAAGCTGAAGCAGGAGAATCGCAAGTTTAAGACATGCCTGGGCCACTTAATAAGAGCCTGGCTTGAAATATTAAAAAAAAAAAAAAAAGCCCGGCTGTGGTGGTGCACGCCTTTAATCCCAGCACTTGGAAGGCAGAGGCAGGTGCATCTCTGTGAGTTCGAGGCCAGCCAGGTCCACAAGAGCTAGTTCAGGGACAGGCTCAAAAAGCCACAAAGAAATGCTGTCTCGAAAAAACAAACATCAAAAAAAAAATTTAAAGGAGGGGACAGACTGAGGTATATAGGTCAACGGCAGAGCATTTGGTCCCAAGCTAGATGGAGAAGAGGGATGGAGAGAGGGAAGGGAAGTCGGACAGTAAAGCTGTCAGAAAAGCTGTGGTTACTTTGTTTGCCTAGTCCGCCTCCCAGGAGGCCTGGTGAGTGGTCAAAGAGTCCACACTCTTGGAGAGAAAGTGTCTACTGATCTTTAGGAGAGAAACTTCATCTTAGTCTATACAGCCCCCAAGGAGGAAGGAATTCAAAGTCAGACAAGGTAGAAACAAAGAGAGCTTGGCATTTATTTCTAGGAGAACTCCTAAGCTGCCTTCACATAAAGGATGTGGAAATAACACATACAAACAAGTTAACACAGGAATAACTTGAGAGAAAAAGCAGTCTTCTACAACCCTCAAACCCTGGTGAGTAAAAACACCCCACGGTCTTTATGTGTAGCTCAGATCAACCCTGAGTTTGCAATCCTCCTGCCTTAGCCGCTTGCATGCTGGGATTACAGGCAGGTGTAACAACCCCTGGTTTTGACGCTCTCCTTAAGAAGATTTTTTTTTTATTTATAAACCAAACAAGCTGAATAGTATGTGCAAGGAGGAACTTAGTGGTTCACTTACTCATCAGCAGCACTCATGCCTCATGCCTGCAGGCATGTGTTCACCACTCGGTTACTCCCACCCCACGTCATCCTCTTACACCTATTCACCAACAGGAAGCAAAACCACTGCAATGGTAAACTGGGCCCCAGCCCCAGCTCTCGGCATCAGCAATGCGCTGACGACAGAAGCCAGCGTCCATTTCTAACTCTAATATGACAAATGATTTCAGCAGGAACTTTCAAACAGGCAGTCCCTTAATTGCTCCTAAAAGTCATAAATATGTCTGCATACAGACTTTTTATCTCATCAGTAAAACTGAGCAACTCTCAAAAGATGGAAGGATGGGGCCTCTGCACACATCACACAAGGATCACACGAACCAACCTTCACTTTGGCAGTAGCTGTTAGCAGCACATAATCTGGTAACTCCATGGCATCCCGCTTCTGGTGCTGAGCCTCAGCACCAATCAGAAGGTTGAAATGGGTGGCCAAATGTCTGCGCAGCAAGGTTTTGTTTGGTGGAATGTTCAACAACTGAGCCATGGTTTCCACATTAAAACGAGGCTCAAGAACCTGAAAGAAAAACTGGGATTGGTAAAAGGAGCCATGGGTCATACACGGTTGCAGCAGAAGCACTTCACAGTTTGCAGACAACCTGTCCTCTGGGTCACCCCAACAGTATCCACAGCAGAGGGCACAGACTTCACAGTTTGCAGACAACCTGTCCTCTGGGTCACCCCCAACAGAGGGCACAGACTTCACAGTTTGCAGACAACCTTTCCTCTGGGTCACCCCAACAGTATCCACAGCAGAGGGCACAGACTTCACAGTTTGCAGACAACCTGTCCTCTGGGTCACCCCCAACAGAGGGCACAGACTTCACAGTTTGCAGACAACCTGTCCTCTGGGTCGCCCCCAACAGCCTTTCCACAGCAGAGGGCACAGACTTCACAGTTTGCAGACAACCTGTCCTCTGGGTCACCCCCAACAGTATCCACAGCAGAGGGCACAGACTTCACAGTTTGCAGACAACCTTTCCTCTGGGTCACCCCCAACAGTATCCACAGCAGAGGGCACAGACTTCACAGTTTGCAGACAACCTGTCCTCTGGGTCATCCCCAACAGAGGGCACAGACTTCACAGTTTGCAGACAACCTTTCCTCTGGGTCACCCCCAACAGTATCCACAGCAGAGGGCACAGACTTCACAGTTTGCAGACAACCTTTCCTCTGGGTCGTCCCCAACAGTAGCAACAGCAGAGGGCACAGACTTCACAGTTTGCAGACAACCTTTCCTCTGGGTCGTCCCCAACAGCCTTTCCACAGCAGAGGGCACAGACTTCACAGTTTGCAGACAACCTGTCCTCTGGGTCGTCCCCAACAGTATCCACAGCAGAGGGCACAGACTTCACAGTTTGCAGACAACCTGTCCTCTGGGTCGTCCCCAACAGCCCTATCCACAGCAGAGGGCACAGACTTCACAGTTTGCAGACAACCTGTCCTCTGGGTCATCCCCAACAGCCTATCCACAGCAGAGGGCACAGACTTCACAGTTTGCAGACAACCTGTCCTCTGGGTCGTCCCCAACAGCCCTATCCACAGCAGAGGGCACAGACTTTGATTGCTTTCCTTTTTAGATTTATTTTTTTTAATGTGTAAAAGTGTTTGCCTACATGTATGTATGTATGTATACCACATGTGTACAGTGCCCACTGAGGCAAGAAGAAGGTCCAGACCCCCTGGAACAGGGGTTACACGTGGTCACCGGCCACCATGTGGGTGCTGGCGACTGAACTCGGGTCCTCTGCGAGAGCAGCCACTGCTCTGAGCTGCCTCTCCAGCGTGGACTCATCACCACACCTGAGTTAGGGGGTGAACTGGCTGTGTAACCCAGGCTTCAGGGGATGCAGAAGCAGCACGTCCTTCTGTTTGGAACGCTGGCTCTGAAAGCAACCGCTTGTGGAACACGGATGCGCAGAAATGCAGCCTGCATCTATATGGGCGTTTAAAACCACGATCAATGAGAGACGGCTGCCGGATGTCAGTCAACACTGACGGGCAATGAGAAGAAAAGGGCTTAGCCCTAACTCAGAGAAAGACACTGGAGATGCTGTGCGAGAGAAATCCAGCGCAAACACAAGAGGGCGGGGATGAAGTACCTCCACATCACTAAAAACAACCCGGGGCACGATGAGTGTCCCGTCTACAGTGCTTGGAACCAGGGTTTAGATTTGGGGGCATCAGCACAAAGTCATTTCTCTTGGGGGTAGGATCAAGTTGCAACACAGATTCACTTGTGCTTCGAATACAGACAGCCTCCTGGTAACCTGATGCAATCCTTCTAGCTCCCAAGAGCTATCCTACCATGTAGAACTTTCCACTCGTGAGGTGGAAACATAGAAGTCACAGGTTTTAAAGCAACGCAGATCTTGGATCAAGACTGCTCACCCTTGGGACTAAGGGGAACCAAGCAAAGAGTCAATTTCAGACTGAAAGGGCTTTACCATGAGGCCTCCGTGGACTCCGCTGCCTCTGAGATTGGGGGCGTATTCTGCCAAGTCCACAGAGCGTAACCACTCCATCACACGGTGATTGGTCCACTGCTGGACCTCAGATGGGGTGATGGCATTCTGTGGAAATAAACACATGTTACACCTCTGGTGCTGATGGCAGGACCTGCGACACCGAACCCAGACGTGTAATCTAACAGGTCTGGCCTAGAAAGCATACTATCTGGTCTCCCATGAGCTACTCAAAGAGAAGGGAAAACAAGTGTTTGCTATTTTGACTGCTCTCTGAAAGAACTTATACCACAGGTTCAAGCTTTTTTTATGTAGAAATAAGAGAGGGTGAAGGAAATATTTACAGTGATGTTTTACTCTGTGGATTGAGGTGGCAGTAAAAAGCATAGCCCACGAACAGGAGGAGGCAGAAAAGTGACCTTTGGCTTCAGTGACACAGTGGAACCTTTACAGACATAAAAGGGAGGGACCGAGGAAAGCAAAGCCCACAAAGTCGGTAACCAGCTTTCTCCGCAGGTTCCAGGAGAAAAAGGCTCTGAGTTTTCACACAGGGACTGTCAAGCTCACATGTGCAAACGTCTTGTCTGAAATGCTACCTCGTCGGACGGCCGCCTCCGCAGGCAGTTTGGCTCAAAGTTATTGATCCTCAGGACTTGGATGGCCCTTTTGATACTGAGGTGATGCAGCACGCTCACAACCTTCAGGGACAGCAGGTCATCCTGCAGGGGAGAAACGAGGAGCTCACTGTGCCGGCCCACAACTGGGGGCAGGGGGCCCCCGGGGAATCCCAGAACTCTGCTTGGGATTTCAGGTTTCATTCAGTAACAGAACTCCTGTCCTGTTCTCAACAAATCCCTTTCTAGAACCTCAAATTCCTATTGTTCCCCCGAATCTGCACCCCTCTCTTACTCTTCCAGATGCTCTGAGAGGATATAGCACACAGGGCTCTGGAAAGGACTCACTGGTCACTCTAAAAGACAGCCTGTTTTTTAGGGGCAGGGAGATGGTCTCTTTGCATCCAGGCTGGCCTCAACTCAAGATCCTCCTGCCTCCGCCTCAGGAGCTGCCGAGACTGAGCTGCTGTGGTGCTGGGCCTCGAGGAATTCCTGTTTCCTCCTTAGTTCCCTACACTGATCTGCAGGCAGTGTAGACACTCAGGCACCTGAAGACGGGCAGCCACACTGCCCTCCCTCTCTCTCGCAGACAGGTGGGTCAGACTGTTCCCTTATCATCAAGCTTCCTGGCCTGCCAATTCCCAGTCTGGGTTATTTGCTCCGCCTAGCAGACATAGTGACCAATATTGGAAAAACTATGTCCCCCAGTGCAAGGGTCTGGATAATAGTGAAAGAGAAAAGACATGAAGGCTTGTAAGTTTCAACATATCACCAATCAGCTTCTTCAAGGAAACACTCTGGGCAGTCTGCGGCCATGAGGCGCAATTTCAAACATGCCCAACACACCTAAACAAATTATTTCAGCAGAGGGTGATTTCAGGGCAGTGCCGAGATAAACCTTCTAAACACACCCAGAGAATAAGCAGAGGGCAGTCCGTGTAGGCACACAGCACACCTTACTGATAGTGTGTTACCTGTGGAAAAAAGTCCAAGACAGGAACTTATAAAAATGTTTCTAAGGGCAAAACTAAAGAGTTAGTGGCGTACCCTTGAGGCGACTGGGCAAAAATTATTCCCTAAATTTTTGTACGATTACTTCATTAAAATCAGTGTTTTAGGATAAATGAGAAAAGGCTTTTTACATGTTTACTCTGAAACTGAGACCTCATTTCCGAACATTTCGGTGTAGGCTACTTTCCTTTCATTGAAGTCTATCAGGTTAAGAAATATCTAAATTATACTTCTGGAAATATATTTGAAGGGTTTCTACCTGCATTGCTTTCATTTAAAACCCTTTTTAAGCTTGGGCATCGTGTGCACACCTGCAATCCCAGGACTCAGAAGGCAGAGGCTGGCGGATCTCTGTGAGTTCCAGTCAGAGCTACACAGTGAGATCCCATTCAAACAAACAAACAAATAAATAAATAAAGTGCAGCAAATAAATAAATATTTTAAAATACTTTTAGACTAAAACAAGGGTTTCCAGGTAGCATAGCGTTCTCAGTGCATTTTATAGCTCCTCCTAATATTCACACCTTATGAGACTATGGCACATGTCAAAATTAAGAAACTAATACAGATAATAAAATAAAGCACAGACCTTATCTGTTATTATCATGAGTGTGTGTGTATGGCATCTACGCAGGGATGCGAGCACACCCATGGAGGTCAGAGGACACTCTGCAGAATCAGCCCCTGCCTTCCACCTTCTCATGGGTCACAGGTTCTCAGGCTCACTTAGCAAGCACTTACACCTGCTTAGCCATCTCATCGGCTCCCAGATTGGCTTTTTACTTCCTGGTTCTTGCCAGTTTCCCACTCAGATCCTTGTTCTGTTCCTGGAGCTGAGCCCAGGAACCACATTCTAGCGGGGACTTCTGACTTGGAACTCACAGGTCACACCTTCCGGGGTCAGTCAATGTCTTTCAGGCATGAAGATCTTGCATGCGCTTCCTGTGACTTTTGAGTCTGAAGTTGCTCACATTCCTGTGGGCCATCTGACCCATCACATCCCATGGGCATGGACAGAGGGTGGTCAAGTGTCACTAGACTGTCCCAGGTGGAACAGTGAGCTATTAAGAGAAGGACCCTTAAACCATTCTGGGTTTAAAGTCTCTATGATACCCTATCACTTAGTAACCATAGAAACCTGATCAACATCACCTAACCTCTCAACTCCTTGTTTCCTCATCTTAAGGATGGAGATGATAATGACGCTGAGGGTTACTGAGAATCACGCATCCAGGAACGTGCACTTAGAAAAGACAGTGGCTATAAAGAAGGGCAAATGCATTAGGCCATTCACGCAAGGTTACAGGGAATTAGCAGGTTAATTTCCACTTATTTCACACAGGTAACACTTACGGGACTGCCTAGTTTACAAATAAAAGTATCTCATGTAAAACATTAACCATACAATGGAATCTAGAACAAGGTTCTGGAATCCATCCCCCACTGATGTAAGTAGGGAATGGTCTTTCTATTCATTGGCCAGAAGACTAGAAATCCCCAAGAGAGAAGGAAGCAGAGCCAGTCCAGCTTCCCTTCCTCTCTTTACCCCGAAACTGCTGCCCTGATGGGACGGATCTGTGCAAAGGAAGGTGAGAGAGGAGGCCAGCCCTTGTGGATGCCAGGGCAAAGGGTAGCACAGAAACACCCAGGGCTGCAGTCCTCTCTATGAGCTCTAACTCACATACCACAGAATGCAAACAAGCACAATGTACACTTCAGAATTTACCATGTTGACTGTATCAATACTGCAGATAAGCTTAGACTAAGTTTAGTTTTGCTTGGCTTAAACTGGGTTTCAAATTATCCCAAAGCTGGGCCAACCGCCAGATCCTGCAACATCAACTTCTCAGGAAACACCCCACAGAGAGCCACTTACCACCGTCATGTAATGTAGCATCCGACCATCCACCCGCCCTTCATCGAACTGGGTCTTATACTGAGGGAGGCCAATGTCATCCAGCCATCCTACAGGAGGAAAGCCAGAGTCAGCACCGGGCTACAGAAGGCCTATTCCCGGGATCAAGGGGGAAATGTGACAATATTGATTCTCTGTCACCCACAAAGGCCTCTTACTAGTGACCCAGTTGAAGTCCAGCTTCCCATAGTTGGTCTCTTCTTCGGACCCCAGGGCCTGCAGCGCTAGCTGGAGCTTCTTGCGATGCAACGAATGCTTGATGCCAAGCTCCTAAAGCAACAAACAGAACCTCAGAATTCCACCCGTCCAGCCATCCATGCAGAATCCTCGACCATGAAGCTGCCCTTAAAGACCAGCTCTCTATTACGTTAAAATACTGCTAATAAACCCATTCTACATTAAATTATAATATGAACCTCAGGCCAAAGCAACATTGCTGAAGAAGAGGCCCAAGTTTACCACGGAGGGCTGAGCAGAACGTCAGATGTTGCCTAGAGATTCATTTCACTTGTGAGTAAGAAACTGTTGAATGTGTAATGGGGACTTTACTCCTATATTGTGGACAAAGGACATAAAATATAGAATATTCTTTTGTGAAGTAAAATAGAATCGCAGAGATTACACTGAAAAGACGAGTCAATGTCAGTTTCCAAATGACTGAGACATGTAAGTTCTCGTCATTATACAAGGTCTATTCATTATGTTATAGCTACATAATTATAGAAGCTAATGCCTTTTCAGAAGTGGTAATACAGGTTCTATGCACACTGCTTTGTTTTAGAATAACTAATTCATACTCTATACCACATTATTAGAATAACTCATAATTCATACTCTGGTAGGGGGGTAGGTGTTGCTGGGAGTGAACCCTGGGCCTCCCACAGGCCAGACAAGTGCTGCAGCGCTGAGTACATTCCCAGCTATACACGCACAAACAAAACGGGAGTAGCTACCTTCTCTAGGTCTTGCTGAGAAGCCTGCAGAAGTGTCTGGCCAGATATAATCCAGTGCTTGCCAGAACTCAGGTAGGACCCCAAGCCTTGCTCCGCGAGCCAACTGCACACTTGTTCCTTGGTCCATTTGGCAAACGGCATATCCAGGTCACTGTGGGGAAATCAGCAACAACCCTAAGCCAGTCCTGCAGCTGAACAGTGAACATTCGTGCATGCAAGCGGTATGGAAGTTCCCTGGTGACACACATCTCACCAGGAAAAGCTAATCCAGGTTTTCAATTCAAAAGAAACTGCATGCCGGGCGATGGTGGCGCATGCCTTTAATCCCAGCACTCGGGAGGCAGAGGCAGGCGGATCTCTGTGAGTTCCAGACCAGCCTGGTCTACAGAGCTAGTTCCAGGACAGGCTCCAAAGCCACAGAGAAACCCTGTCTCGAAAAACCAAAAAAAAAAAAAAAAAAAAAAAAAGAAACTGCAGAAGGATTGGCGAGAGCTACCAAAAACTCACGCTTCAGAAAGACACCAACAAGAGCCATGTAAGAGTCAGATGCAGACGATGCTGTGCTCTCCAAAGAGCACACTCTCAAATAAAAACACTCTACTCGGCAGAAGGAAATTTGAGTCTCATATGAATTCACTTTGGCAGAATTATGGTTTCTCTCTGGCAGAGATCGCCGAGAAGATATCTTCCTGCTAAGTACAGGAAGGGGCTCTCCAGCAAAGTTTGTATTTTCTTTACTTACAGTCTTGAAAAAAAATATGAGGGTGCATGGCTAAATTTAAGAAAAAGCTATTTACAGTGAGTGGAGTGTGTGTGTGTGTGTGTGTGTGTGTGTGTGTGTGTGTGTGTGTAGTGTGCACACATCCCAGTATGCACATGACAAAAATGTCTTTTCAATAGCACAAGGGAGTTCTTCATTGTGCTTGAGGAGAACATATGGAAAATAGGAGCACCTGTTATCTGTGTCCAGGGCCCCACCTGTGTGGGAGCATCTGTCTCCGGCTAATTATTCCTTTCAAAGGGCTCAGCATCAAGACCTTCATGTTTACCAACCCCACCCTTTTATGCTCAGAAGCTCAGTGAAGTTGGCTCCAAACTGGTTCTAGCTTTTGAGGAAGCAGGGAGGGCTCTTGGAGAGAAACATTGTATAGTCTTTCCCCAGCTAGTGTAAGGAGGCATTTACTCATTCTACTCATTCGGGGGAACAACCTATGGTCTTGATAAATCCAGGAATTGCAATAGAATGTTTCTTTAAATACTTTCAAAGACTGCAACGATGGCTAATGTTTATTGATCAGTTGGTATCTGACAGAGACTTGGCCCCTACCAACTCAATTCTCACCTTTTGGGGTAGGTGCTAAGTCTTACTGTGAAGCTGAGTGTGGAGGCCACAGCTCAAGGTCACTTGGCTGGTGGCCAATGAGGCCACAGAGTAAATCCAAGAGGCTGGACTCAAAAACACAATATTTATTTCCCCCCACTCCCACCCAGGTCCCCATGCATGCCGACAAGGTCTCTGTTACTGAGCCACAAGCCCAGCCCTTAGACCCACCTTCCAAGCACTAGGCTGCCCCATCTTCACAAGACTGCTTCGGGAGACGCCCCACGTCAAAACTTAAGCCCAAGCACCACTGAATCACACATGTTCCTGACACCCTCACCAGCACGGGCAAACAGGACCGCCCCTCCCAACACAGCAGTAAGCCGGGTCTCCGGCCCTCGTGACCCACAGCTGTTCTTACCTGTTGGACTGCCCTAAGTCTCGAGACCAGCCGAGCCTGGGGCCTGCAGTTGCCCTCGTCCCTCCTCTTTTGAATTCAGGCTCTGACATGTCATCTGGGTTGAATGTAGTTGACTGGCTTCTCCTGAGTCTGGAGACACATGAACACGGTTATGCTTCTCCTGAGTCTGGAGACACATGAACACGGTTATGCTTCTCCTGAGTCTGGAGACACATGAACACGGTTATGCTACACCTGCAGAGGCCTCTGCTTTGGTGGCGAATTATAATGGTTTTTTGTTGTTTGTTTTGTATGTCTGAATTGAAATGTTAACCAAGGCCCAATGAGTTATGAAGCCCAAATGAGTCTTCCTTCCATGAAGCCTTGGGATTTAGTGTCCCTTGCCAGGCAGTCTTCCCATCACCCCCTGCCCTGTGCAACACAGGGGTCAGGCACCCCACCTCCCCTTTCTTCCACTTACTTCCCAAAGAGTCTCATGATTCCTCTGGACTTCTTTCTGGAATCTGGAGATGGTGGAGACATCTGGAAAGGACCGGTCCCCTGTGAACCTTTAGGACGAGATGTACCAGCCAAATCTAGGTGCTCAGTTGTCTCCTTTTCTGTCTCAGCTGTCCCAAGGATAGAATAAAGACCACGTGAACACAAGGAGACCTTAACCTTCTTGGTTTTAACCCCTTAAGAATTCTTCTTTGGTTCTAAAAACCAGTGATTTACACAGAGCACCCTTACGTATGAAACATGTATGTAAGTGTATTTGCTGCTCTACAACTTGCTCTCCTCCACAAAGATCCCTTTGAGATGAAGAGTGTGTAGCAGAGCTGGGTGTGGTGGTGCACGCATGTAAATCCACCACCCCAGAGGCTGACACAGGAGGACTGATTCGGAGACACACTGGGGCTACAATGTGTGACTCTCTCTTCAAAATAAAATAAAAAGTGTCTCAGAATTGTGACATTCTTGAGTGATATAAACTCGTGATGAGATTATGCCTAATCTAGTGCTTGGTACAGCGAGCTTCCCACAGCCTCTAACATCTCCACTCCCTCTCCTGCCATGACTCTTTCCTGGATCTGTGGTCTGGTCGTTCCTTCTTGGCTGTAACACCCATTTTTTATCTTTCCTACGTTTTACACCAAGATCCTGCTTAGTTCCCACTCTCGCAAGCTCACCTGCTCTCTAAACCCAGCACTGAAGGATGGCTTTATATTCATAGGCAGATGGCACCAAAACCTCTGAGCCTGACCTCTCTTGTCAGCCCTGTACCCAAAGGAAGACTATGCCAAGTCCCAATTTACTGTGCCAAGGACACACGGGACTTAACAAACCCACCAGTTTCCCTGAAAGTCTTCTCTCAAATTTTGACACTGAATTCAAATTCTGTGTCATTTCCTTCTTAACACGCCTTCTCCTTTGCCATTTAGATCACCTCAGTTACAGAGGACCAGCAACTCTTTATCAAGAAATGAATTACCAGAATGTGGTGCACACGCCCATTAAATCCCAGCCCTCAGGAGGCCAAGGTAAGAAGATCTCAAGCCCAAGGCCAGATCAGGCTGTAGTTGAGACCCTAAGGGGGAAAAACCCCTAGCCTATTATATATTGGGTACTAAGAGAACAATGCAACTCAGTATGTGTGAGGTTTTCTTGAGGGGTAAAATCCGGATTTGGCTTTGAAAGAACAGCATCCACACTTGCCACATGCAGGGCAGAAGTTCTTTCAACTGCTGGAAGAACAGCCACAAGCAAAGATGGGGCTGTTGTTTTCCAGAGTGTGAGCCTTTACATTTATAAAGGAAAATAAAGACATTTGTTCAAGGAGAAAAATCAGAAGGGTCTCAGAAGGATTTGCAGAAGCTGCAGAGGTTGAATGTTCTACAAAGCAGAGCTGTGACTACAGGTTACATAAGCAGCACTGGTCTACGGGCATCGACTGCCGTCCTAGAAGACACAGGAGCAGCTGAAAGCGGTTGTCCAGCTGGAAGAGTTTAGTTTGTGGAGCCAGCACTCACTGTAAACACGTCAGGCTTCAAAGACAAGGATGTCACTTTGCTAGGACATATGCTTTGATACTTGGGTATCTATACAAGGTGAAAGCCGCAGGGAACCCCAGGAAGAATCTATCCACTCCCACTGCACAGCCACAGTGGGTACGGGTGCCCTGAAAATGTTCCTAGTCCAACTCGTTTAAAACACATCATACTTTATTTATTTATCGGGGGGGGGGGGGCTTCTTCACACTACTCTCCCCATAGGGAGACAGAACGAATGTCTTTTAAAAGCACTCTCATGGAGACTCCTCAGATACCATGGGAAGTCACTAACTATCCCCACGGTCAAAGCAATACAGTTTGCTCCAAGAGCAGTAAGTCAGTTCCTGCCTGGCAATAGACAGTTTTGGGGGGATGTTGGGGAAATGGACACATGGAGAAGGACGAGAGTTGGCGGGTGATGGTTCAGTCACGGGTGAGGGGAGCTGAGATGTATGATGCCAGTTCACTCCAGGCCTGCACTGTGCAGGCTGCTGGGCATTTCTGGGCTCTCAGAGCTGCCCAGACGGTGTCAAGAGCACTGGTTAGAACAGCATGTAGGCTCAGAAGCCAAGGCGCTACGGAGTCTGCTTTAGCTAAAGATGAAGGAATATTCTGGAAGAGACTACATTTTCTGATTGCGGCCAGCTTGCTTGGTAGAGATCGCAGAGGCCAAGAGTGGGGATTAGATGAGTTTGGGGTGTAGCACTGGTGAAGGCTGGCATGCAGGGGTACGGTACCTAAGGTGGGTGCACTGGCACTTCGTTTACGGTCTTCAGGTATCCCAACAACGCACACAACACACGCAGCCAATGGAGAGAACACAAGGATGACAAAAATGGAACAGATCAGACTCCACCCTCTAAGGCAACGCCCGTAGGAGGAACGTATGCACACACTAAGACTATAAAAACCGCACAAGTCCGTCCCTGGGCACTCACTCATCCCACCACCAGAGGGGAGACTGTCCAAACAGAGTCACAGACCACCACAGGGTTAGGACGGTTCATTCTGCTGTTTGTCACTGGACAGAGTGGGGTGAGAGCTGACTTATCGTCACACTGCGAATTAAATCCATGGAAGCATTTTTGCCAACATCCCCCCCTCCAAGGCATCCACCTTCACTTCTGAGAAGGAGAAACGTGCCCACAGAGGAACACAGGATGGGTGGAACACCAAGCCTTTCCCTCCGTCCGGAAGGTCAGGACCTGGGTGCCCATGCCACACATACCAAGGTTTGGTGCACTTGCTGTCCTCTTGTTACTCTTGATTTTAAAAAAGCCTCGGCCAAAGGAGGACCTGGCTTTTCGAGTGCCAAAGGGGTTGTCATCCACGGAGGTGTTGTGTCCTGGAGCCTTGGGAGGCAGGGTCCCAGATGTGCGGCTGTCAGCTGGAGCTCTATCCTGAGGGGCGATGAGGAGGGAGCTGAGGGTTAGGGTGCAAATCCTAAGGATGGGGGGCTGGACTCTAACTAATGTCACATCCCTGGACAGATGCTGCAGTATCACACTAAGGCCAATGCCAGGGACATGTTAAAAAGAAGCCTACGCAGTAAACACTGACACAAAGAACACGGCTAACTCCGTCGACAAGCAATACATTCATCACTTAAAATATTTAAGACAGCTTTGAAAACAATTAAGTTCTATCTGCCTCCAAGACATGGAGTGAAGACACTCCAAACCCAGGGTGGCAGATTTCTTACTTTTCTAGTAATAACAATGCAGAGCTATAAATGAGTTTACGGCCTTAAGTCACCAGCACAGCAGCAGACGCCCAAGGCAAGTCTACAAAGCAGGCTGTGCACACACTTTAAAATACAAGAAGATCCTTTCAGTTACTTCACATTCTTCTCAAAGACTAAGAAGATAAAGGTACACCCAGCAACCGTTTGTTTGAGTTTTCCGACTCTGAGTCAGCCACTAAGCTCATGAGGAATGTCTCTCTGCTCTGGTACCACGGAGAGAGGCTTCTGGTTGGATTTCTTCTCTAACACCTCCTGCTTTCTGCTCTTCTTTTGCAGAGTGGGTGAAAGGGTCAAAGGGATGGCTGACTACATTAGCTGAACACCCGTGTGCACAATACAGTTACTATCTACACTGCAACACCGACACGTCCTCTGACCATGTATTGACATGCATTGACCATGTATTGATCATACACTGATCATGTATTGATCATGTATTGACCATGTATTGATCATGTATTGACCGTGCATTAATCATGTATTGACCATGTATTAATCATGTATTGATCATGTATTGACCATGTACTAAACAAGGGGCTGAAGAGGACCTGAGGGACAGCTGTCTCCACTGAGTGCTTTGCCAGCTCCATCTCTAAGAGTTCAGACTCAGAGCAGACAGCCAGGACGGGAACTGGCCTTGCACCCCGCTGCGATCCTTGATATGGCTCATGATGGGAAGCCAGGGGAGCCCTGGAATACAGCCTGTGTAGAACGCCAAACCTGCCCGCATGGATGAGGGCTATATGAAACAAATGGGTGGCTTTTTGCAGAGCCTGGGAAAGGCAGCTGGTCACAAAGACGATCAAAGCACACGACTCTAAGATCACAGGTTGGTTTTCCAATAACAGATAGAGATGAACTCTTAAAATATTTATTTATTTATTTATGGGCGTGTGTGCCTGCGTGCATGTGTGGGGACACGTGCCACAACACGTGTATGTAGAGGCCGACACACACACGTGTATGTAGAGGCCGACACACACACACGTGTATGGAGAGGCCGACACACAACACGTGTATGGAGAGGCCGACACACGTGTATGTAGAGGCCGACACACAACACGTGTATGGAGAGGCCGACACACAACACGTGTATGGAGAGGCCGACACACACACGTGTATGGAGAGGCCGACACACACGTGTATGGAGAGGCCGACACACACAAGTGTATGGAGAGGCCGACACACACTCGTGTATGGAGAGGCCGACACACAACACGTGTATGTAGAGGCCGACACACAACACGTGTATGTAGAGGCAGACACACGTGTATGTAGAGGCCGACACACGTGTATGTAGAGGCTGACACACACACGTGTATGGAGAGGCCGACACACACACGTGTATGTAGAGGCCGACACACACGTGTATGGAGAGGCCGACACACATGTATGTAGAGGCCGACACAAGTGTATGGAGAGGCCGACACACAACACGTGTATGGAGAGGCCGACACACAACACGTGTATGGAGAGGCCGACACACACACGTGTATGTAGAGGCCGACACACACACGTGTATGTAGAGGCCGACACACACACGTGTATGTAGAGGCCGACACACACGTGTATGTAGAGGCCGACACACGTGTATGTAGAGGCCGACACACAACACGTGTATGGAGAGGCCGACACACAACACGTGTATGGAGAGGCCGACACACACACGTGTATGTAGAGGCTGACACACACACGTGTATGTACAGGCCGACACACAACACGTGGAGTTATTCTTGCCTTCCACCATGGACACCCTGGGGATTAACCTAGGCCATGGGGCTTCACCTCCGGAGCCATCTCAGCTCCCCCAAATTAACTTTCTCTTTTTTTTACTGAAATGTTCATTTTATGTCTAAGCAATACTTAACCCAGGTCAGGGCTGCCCAGGGACGAGTCTGAGACCACAGCATACTGGCCTGGCTTGCTCTATATGCAGGCGTTGCAGGCCCATATGGGAAGGATAATGTGTGTATGTCAGGTACACATGCTCACGTGTACATGTGGAGGCTCCAGGCTGGGTGTCTTCTATTTCTTGTCACTATATGTTCTGAGACAGAGTATCTCACTAAACCCGGAGATCACTGGCTGAGCAGACAAGGGGGAAAGTCCCAGGGATTCTCCTGTCCCCAGCATCTTGCAGCGCTGAGAAGACAGGCATGTGCTTCCGTGCCCAGCTTTGTATGTAGTTGCTGGGATCTAAACTCTGCAGGGTCCTCACGCTTGCAGGGGAGTACACACGCATTTCACCACTGAGACATCTCTCTAGTCCCTAAGAATAACTTTTCTTCAGACAGGGTCTCACTCTGTAGACCAGGCTGGCCTCAAACTCACAGAGATCCACCTGCCTCTGCTTCCAAGGTGCTCGGAGTATAAGTGTGTGCAGCACACCTAGCTCAAAATTAATTTTAAAGAGAGGGCATTGAATCCCATGGGACTAGTTATAAAAGGCAGGTTGTAAACAGGCATGTGGGTATCGTGAACTGAACTCAGGAACTCTGCAGAAGCAACCAGTGCTCTTAACCACTGAGCATCTCTCTGGCCTTCAAAATTAACTTTTTTCTTATTGTTGTTATCGTTTGCTTATGAAGAGAGGGTTTCTGTGCAGCCCTGGCTCTCCTGAAAACTAGCTCTGTAGACCAGGCTGCCTCAAACTCAGAGGTTCTCCTGCCTCTGCCTCCTAAATGATGGGGATTAAAGGTGTGTGCCACCATCTGGCTAAAATTAACCTTTAAAAGTAAGTAACCCTGTGGCACTTAGTCTTTCTCTGAATCATAACCACACCCCATCTAGTTCTAAAACACTGCCATCACCCTCAAGCCAACAGCCCTCTGCTTCTCCTTATTCTACCCCTTCCCCCATTACAGCCAGCGCTCTGCGGCCTTCTCTGCAGACGCACGCACGCTGCTGCACACTTCACAGAAACCCAGGCACATGTATGCACATGACCTCCCTAGCTGGCATCTGCACCTTGCTTGATGCTCTGGAGGCGCTAACAGACTCGGCTTCCTGGAGTGGGGACATTTAACTTAACATGCCATAAAATTTAATAGATTTTTTTTATACTTGAACTCATATATGAAAATTACCTCTGAAGGCTTCTGGTTAGACTTCTTTTCCTGTTCAAAAACAATGACATTTAAGAAGGCTACTGTAAAATTCTTTTATATATTCATTGTTATTACACTTCCATAAATAAGAAACCACAAAATCTTAGTTGTATTTATTTCCTACAATGTTTTATTTTCTCAACCTTTCATTTATGCACTTTCAATCTTCTCGCTTCATCCCTGAAATCTGTCATCAACTGTACCATGGTAGTAATTTCCCATCAGAGAAAACAAGAGCTCTTCCTAAAATGAAATTTTCCCAGGCACAAACAAAGATCAATCCCTCGGTATTTTCTTCTCAGGTTAACAAGGGAAAGGAGGCAGGAAAAACAAAAGAAAAGAAAAAGAAAACTCACCAAGACATCTGATGTCTCTTTCTTCAGGTTTCCCAGGCTGCTGGATTTTTGCAGACTTGAAGTTCTAACAACAGAAACAATGATAATTAGAATTAATAGTAAGTTGACTCTGGTGCCTGTGTCTAAGCAGATCATCTTAGAAGGAACTAAAAACTGTCTGGGAGTTGAATCTTGGTAATAAAAGAAAGTCTGGATCCAAGCAAACACTTATGTACTTAAGTCAATTGCAGCGCTTAGTTCCTCTAAAAGCAGGGTGGTTAACGGTCTTGCCAGTAACACAGACTATGCCACACATGTCCCGGGAGCTGCAAAACCACTTAAGACGGCCCTGGCAATATCAGTGTTTTCCATGGACGGGTGGCACTTACGCCTTTACACCAGGAACTTCTTAGAAGCTTGCGCACTGTTAGAGCTAATCCTTCCACTTGAAGAACGAAAGTCTACTTTTCTTTCAAAGAGGAATAACTTTCCCGAGTCTGCAAAGCTCACTAAGCCAGGTTTTGTGGGGCACACCCGTCATTCCAGTCCTCAAGAGGCTGGGGCAGGACTGGGGGCTGTGTGAAACAGCCAGGGCTATCAAGACAGAGCCTGTCTCCAAGAATGAGAATAAAGAAGGATGGAAGGAAAAATAAAGAGGACGAGAAAGGGAGGGAGAAGCAGGGGAATAAAGGAAGGAAAATGCCCTAGACCAGTGGTTCTCAACCTTCCTGTCGCTGCAACACCTTCATACAGTTCCTCAGGCTGTGGTGACCCCAACCATAAAGTTATTCTCGTTGCTACTTCATAACTGTAATTTTGTTACTGTTATGTATTGTAATGTAAATATTTGTATTTTCCGGTAGTTTTAGGTGACCCCTGACCTACGGGGATCACTACCCACAGGTGGAGAACCGCTGCACTAGGGGAATTCTTGTTAATGCCCACAGTAATTCTTTTGCTAGCCAAGGAAGGCAGCGGGAGTCTGTAAGTAGGAGACTTCGTTCTTTACATAATCAGTGCCCAGTTACACACAGCCAGAGGCGGCATGACTCAAACCTAAATGTACAAATATGGAGCCAGTTTCCAAAGATGCGAGACTGGGGGCGTACCTCAGTGTCAGTGTGTGCTGGGTACGCGAGAGGCCCGGGGCCTGATCCCGAGCAACACGAGATAAAAAAGCAAAGCAGAGCAGAGAAAGAGACTAAAGAAGGAATGTGTTTACTCCAAGAAACTGGAACAACTGTGCGGCCTAACTTTTAAAAGGCATTTCTGTTTTTACGTAAGTTGTCAGGAGTGCTGGCCGCCAAAGCACGTCAAAGATAACAGAGAAATAGAAACAGCTCTTTCGAGCCCTGCCCTTAAAATAGGCTTTCCAGGTTGTTTGGGGCTTTCCTAATGTGACCCAGGCTTTCGCTCGGATAAACAGCACAGTGGGCGTTTATGAAAGTCTCTCCGCCAGCTGTCACACTCCCTGGGAGTCTTTTCTGTTGGAGTAAAAAAATACAAATCAGCACAAAAATAAATGAAAAGTCCTGAATCTCAAATGAAAACTGATGAGGGAAGACGAAAGATCTGCAAAGGCCAGGCATGAGAGCCAGGAAAGGGGCGTTTCTCTGTGGCACCAGCTCTCCAGCCCTGCCTCTCATGACACTCGCAGACTCGACTTGTGAGTGTGACAGCCTCGCCGGATCCCTGTTAGCAATGGTTATGTGAGCAGTGCAGATTTCCCGCTCTTTCAAGCCATGGTCATGCTTCACACTCAACAACACACAACTTACGAAAGACCGTCGCTCGGCGGGGCTTCCACGGCTGCACCCAGGAGCGGTTTTCCATCACTAAAATACATTTTTTAGAAAGGCATTTGTTAATGTCATGAATCGAAAACCACACGGACATCCCTGGGCTTACAATGGTGAAGTCCCAAAGGGCCCATCAGAGGCTGAACTCACTTAACTCAATTAAAGTCAAAAGCGCCTTTTGTTTAAGTTAGCAAAAACACAGCGTAGCCTCTCCTACCTCGTCATACTTACAGGCCCCACTGGCCTACAGCCGGGCAAAATCTCTCTCACAACGTCTACTTTAGAAGGGTACACTGACTACCTCCTACCTATCAAAAACTATAGCAAAACTACAACACAGCCACGCTGTAAAGTCAAAGAAAAATCACAAGTCATGCCATCACAGGTGGGCCATCTGGACCTCTTCTAAGTGAACAGAGATGTAAAATATGTAATAATAAATAATAGTGCAAAAAAGGCTATTTTAAAACATTTTCTTAAGCCTAAGTCAAATTTAGGCAACTAGTTTGAGAACTTTCTGGCAAAATATCTATTTGTCTACTGAGATATGACTGAGTCTGTTGTGCCGGCGTCACAGCCGTGCTTCAAACAGCCTCACGGCACCAACGGCACCTGCTCTGCCTTCCAGCAATCACTGGTGACATAGAAAGCAAAGCCCGAGCTCCTCACTCCCTCACTCTCCCACCCTCTCCCGCCGCTTCCTGACTCACGCATTTTATCTCAATAATACAAAACTGATGATGAAAACAGAGCCTGAAATAAGTGTGGGATGCTGGCTACTCTACCTATCTGAACATTTATATCACAATGTCATATCCCACAGAGCATACTTCTCTTCAAGGGAAGTCTCAGGCAACTTGGACTTTTCAGAGGTCTCCACACCCATGCATGGCGGCAACAGCGGAGGGACGGAAGCTTGCAAGACGCTGGTGTGAAACTGAAAGATTATAAGTAAAAAGGAAATCAACCAAACGAGGACCACACAAGCCACGGAGTAACGGAACATAACAGAGCCGGTCTAAATCGTATACACCCGTGCTTACAACTCCAGCCTTATCGTCATGATTGTTTCAGAATACAAACATGGGTACAAATGGGGGTCACGGAGGAAACACTGTGGAGAAAGGGGTTTCATTTGGTTCCATGACAGTGAATATTCTGAGTAAGAAATTACCTTAAAACACAAAAAAACCTCGAGTTCTGATCCAGTGAAAGCCCAAGAAATCCAGCCCCAGGGCGCTGACTCTTCTCAGCGTGAGCACACCGTAAACAAAACACTACGTCCATATTTATTTCTGCTACCAGCCTGACACACAACATGCATTATGCTGGTTAACTACTCTCTTCTATTTGAACAAGCTGACTAAGCTCCACTTTCATAACTGACGGAAAATACATTAAAACCAGCTGGAATATACTCCTGTGGTTACCAGTTAAAATGGAGTAACATCAACACTGTGCTAATAATAAAATGTGGAGCCCATTTTCTCAAACACCTCTGGGTCCCAGGGCTGGAAACTTCGGTAAAGACCAAGAGCTGGAGATCAGAGCGCGGTGGGCATCAAGATCTCAGGAGTCAGCTAATCTGTGGTCTCCTCCTTTAACTGTTAGCAGTGCTGGCCTAGCACGCCCAGTGTTTCTCCACTGAGCTATATTCCCAAAAGAGTTCTTAACTTCTTTCCTCTCTCTTTAATTTTTATTAATAATTTTGTAAAATTAAAATATAATCATATTGTTTCCTCCTTCCCTTTCCTACCAACCGTCATGTACCTTCCTTATTCCCATTCTCTCTCTATTTCTCTCCCTACTCCCTCTCTTCCCTCCCTCTCTCTCTCCATGACCTCTTTGTCTCTCTTTTTGATCAGGGTCTTTTGCACAGCCTAGCCTGACCTGGCTGCTTAATCCTCAGGGAGCCAGGTAAGACACACGGCGACACACATCTACAGCAACACCAGGTAAGATACACAGTGGACACACACCTACAGCAACACCAGGTAAGACACCCGGCGGACACACATCTACAGCAACACTGGTAAGACACCCAGCGGACACACATCTACACCAACACCAGGTAAAACACCCGGCGGACACACATCTACACCAACACCAGGTAAGATACACAGTGGACACACATCTACACCAACACCAGGTAAGATACACAGTGGACACACACCTACAGCAACACCAGGTAAGACACCCGGCGGACACACATCTACAGCAACACTGGTAAGACACCCAGCGGACACACATCTACACCAACACCAGGTAAAACACCCGGCGGACACACATCTACACCAACACCAGGTAAGATACACAGTGGACACACATCTACACCAACACCAGGTAAGACACCCGGCGGACACACATCTACACCAACACCAGGTAAGATACACAGTGGACACACATCTACACCAACACCAGGTAAGACACCCGGCGGACACACATCTACACCAACACCAGGTAAGATAAACAGTGGACACACATCTACACCAACACCAGGTAAGACACCCAGCGGACACACATCTACACCAACACCAGGTAAGATACATGGTGGACACATATCTACAGCAACACCAGGTAAGACACATGGCGGACACACATCTACAGCAACACCAGGTAAGACACACGGCGGACACACATCTACAGCAACACCACATAAGACACCCGGCGGACACACATCTACACCCACACCAGGTAAGATACATGGTGGACACACACCTACAGCAACACCAGGTAAGATACATTGCGGACACACATCTACACCAACACCATGTAAGACACACGGCGGACACACATCTACACCAACACCAGGTAAGATACACGGCGGACACACATCTACACCAACACCAGGTAAGACACACGGCGGACACACATCTACAGCAACACCAGGTAAGACACACGGCGGACACACATCTACAGCAACACCAGGTAAGACACACGGCGGACACACATCTACAGCAACACCAGGTAAGACACACGGCGGACACACATCTACACCACCCACTCAGCAACAGTTTCTCTTGAGTCACACATTCCAACAGGCACCCAGGCCTGCCTCTGAGCCTCTGAGCCCCAGAATGGAGAACCCAGGGGAGTTAAGATGGTCTTGGGTGTGCTGAACCAGCAAAGCTCAGCTTCATGAAGAAGCAATGATCTCTGCTCCGTGAGTTTTGTGTGGTACTGAGTGACGGCATCACGAAAGCTCGTAAAATATCCAGTCAGATTACTGTAAAGTGGGGCTCTTTTCGTTTTATTTTCCCCGTTTGGTTTTTGTTTCAATCTTTACAGTCAATGCTGGGTAATCTCTTTAGCACTCGTCCATGCTTCCTGAAGTTCAGCTACTTCCCTGGACTCCTGATCATGGGAAAATACACTAACACACTGGCCTCTTGCCTTGATTTCTTGTTCAAACTTCAAGGTTTCAGTTCCAACTTATATTTTCCCTCCTGTCTTTCCTTTGAAAATAAGGTTGAACTCTATCGATTCTCACCACACCACTTTTGTTCAAGTTGAAGCAATCACCTGAGACAAATGAAACATCCTTAAACTGGGATTCGTGAGGGCTGGAGAGGTGGCTCAATAGCATTGGCTGCTCTTCCCGGGAACCCAGTCCAACTCCCAGCAAGGTAGGGCATCGGCTAACTCCAGGGGATCTGGTGCCCTCTTCTGACCGCTTTGGAAACTGTATGCATGCAGTGTGCATACATGTATATTCGAGCAAAACACTCACACATACAAAATAAACAGAAGCAAACCTTTAAGCTGAGGCTTATGCAGCAAATAATCTGTAGAACAATCTGGCATATGCTACACATACAAGCAATCCCTCAGTAAATGAACCACATTACTAGCTAGCAAAGTTTTTTGGTTTTTGGAAAGCTGAGGCAGGAGGATCACTATTGCTGGCCTGGGCAACCAAGTGAACCTGTTTCAGAATAAAACAGAGAGGTTTCTTTGCCTCTAAATATAAACACAGTTAACAAGCAGGGAGCTTCTTCTTGTATCTCATTTCATAACTAAAATCTTGACTGATAAACTGTTTCGGTGCTTGCTAACATTTGAGTGTTCAACGTTAGCTGTTTTCTCTTTGAATTAACTTTCATTCAATTTAGTTTTTACTTTCTCAGGACCAGAGGTGTAGAACTCAGCGCAGAGCAGTGGCCAAGCACGCACACAGCCTCAGGCTCCAGGCCCAGAGCTGCAGCAGGTGTGTGTGTGTGTGTGTGTGTGTGTGTGTGTGTCTGTGTGTGTGTGTGTGTGTGCATGCGTGTGTGTGTGTGTGTCTGTGTCTGTGTGTGTGCATGCGTGTGTGTGACTAGGAAAAGGGATCTACTGCTGAACACTGTCTTTTCATTACGTCAACAACAGGTACAAGAGAAGGAAACAAGAGAGGAGAGCTGGTGAAAGGAAGAAACCGTGGCATGCTCGAGGTGAATGAGATAGTCCCAGAGTGTGACGTGACCTCAGGGCAAAGGTCACTAGCACTGGGGAATCCTGGGACAGGCGCTCTCCTCTCAGACTCTATGGAGAAGCAGCAAGCCCAGTGGCTCTGCAGGGAGCCTGGGCCCTGAGGGGCAGTAAGGGATGCTCAGACAAGTCTCTAAGGTAGTGGCTTGGAGGGCTCTGAGCAGATTCTGATTGTTGGAGCAATGCAGCAAATCAGGCTCAAATGGGCAAGCACAGCAGGAATGACGGTGACTTTGGACTGCAGCGGCACTTTACGAAGCTGAGACAACATTCAAGGTAACAAAACTGTCACCGGGAGAGCAGTAAAAGACACAGCCCCCTCGACACAGACAAAGTCGGAATCCCGACGGTACCTCTTCTGGAGCGCTTGTGTTGAATGGGTCCCTGCTGGGAGACCCCATTCCTGGCGTGGAGGAGGTACTCCTCTCCAAGTCACTGAAGCCCTGGGCATCCAACAGGGTGGAGATGGAGCTAGAGTGGAACAGCCCGTCACACTCACCGTCCTGGCCTGGAAAAGACGAAGCAGACGATGCTCAGGTCCACTGTGGAGGAAGAACCGTGATTACGCATTCCTTCTCCGTCTTTCTCTTGAACATGCGCTGTGCTGCTGAGCTACTGTCTCAGTCCAAACCGTAAACAAAGAATCACAGTTCCTGGCATCGTATGGAGATCAGCCACACAGACCCTAGGATACAGCACCTTAAACTCTAAGCAGCTAAGGCCGTGCCCAGGCCACACTGAGTACCCAGCAATGACATTAACAAAAGGAGTCAGGTTTGATACAATATTGACACAAAAGATGTTTAAAAACCCCTAAATTTGAGGCAGAGGCAGGTGGATCTTTGTGAATGCCTGGCAGTGGTGGCACACGCCTTTAATCCCAGCACTTGGGAGGCAGAGGCAGGCGGATCTTTGTGAGTTCGAGACCAGCCTGGTCTACAAGAGCTAGTTCCAGGACAGGCTCCAAAACCACAGAGAAACCCTGTCTCGAAAAACTAAAAAAAAAAAAAAAAAAACCTAAATTTATTTCAAAAACCCACTGTAATTTTCTTTCAAGACTTCCAGGCTTTATAAACATTAGTTTAGCCTGTTTTGGTTTTGTACCTTTAATCCTGGCATTCAGGAGGTGGGAGCAGAAGAACCAAAAATTGAAGATCATCCTTGGATACATAACAAGTTCAAGGTCAGTCTGAACTACAAGAGACGCTACTTCAAAAAATATCAGACAGATCCATAGATGTGTGTACCTACCCACCTACCTACCTATGATCTACCTACTTACCTGTCTACTCTACCTACCTACCTATAATCTACCTACTAACCTGTCTACTCTATCTACCTACCCAGCTACCTATCATCTATCTACTTACCTGTCTACTCTATGTACCTACCCACCCCCCTATACTCCCTTCTACCCCAGCAGGACCATCTGATTCTGGGCTACAACAGAGCCACCATTTAAATGCATTCCTTCTCGTCACTGCTGTGCTCTGGAAGATACACGAAAAAGAGAAAGGACAGAAGAAAAAGAAAAATGACAGCTGATCCTTCAAAAGGATCGATCCTTTTATGCCATTTTAAAGTAGAAAGAGCCTAATGGAAGAAAGAAAGCATATATCCATCAAAGAACTAAGCTTGAAAAATTTTACCATCAGTCAAGATGTAAAGGCCTAACTAACTGTACTACACAATGGTAGATGGTCACTTTCTTAGAAAGTAGCATGATATTAAAAGCTCTACCTCTAATGCCAAATGGCAAACTCTGTACTTATCTAAACACGCTGTAACTTTTCTTTTCTTATTTTTTTTTAAAGAAATTGTTTTGGTATAACATAGTCCAGGCTAGCATCAAAGACTAGGTCATCTTGATTCAGCCTCTCAAGTGCTTAGATTACAGGCATGCCTAACTAAAGATTTATTTTATCTTTATTTATGAGTATGTGTGTGCATGTGTCCACAGAGACCAGAAGAGGGTGTTGGATGCCTTGGGACTGGAGTTGGAGGCGGCTATGGGCTGCCAGAGTGGATGCTGAGAGCCAAACTCCCTTCCTCTGCAAGAGTAGCAAATGCTCTTAATCACTCCACAATTTTTCCAGCCCCAGTAAAACTTTGAAACTGAGGTTTTACTATAATTTTACCTTAACTTTACTAGATTTTAAGTGCTGTTTAGGGTTATGTGAGGAGTAACTAAATAAATATGTCTTCGGGAGGAATCACTTTTCATGTACCTCCTTCACCATACCAGGGAATGATCTTTATGACTTGTGAAAACCCATCCTGCTCTATCTGATTTCAAACTACTACATGGGGCTGGAAAGGCTCAGCCAGTCAACTGCCTGTCATGGGAGCATGAGGACCCAAGTTCAGATCACCAGCGCCCACATAAACGCCAGGCATGGCCTGGAGAGGCGGCCCAGAGGTCAAGAGCGCATGGTGATCATGAAGAAGACCAGGATTTGGTTTCCAGACCTTACACTGGGCAGTCACAACCTCCTGTAACTCCAGCTCCAGGGATCTGATGTCCTCTTCTGACCTCCCCAGGCACTGGCACACAGGGGGCATGAATACACCCACGCACATACACATAAATAAATACAAAATAGGTCTTTAAAAGCCAGGCATGGTGGTCTGCACCTTAGAGGTAGGAATGTAGAAAGGCAATCTTTGAAGCTCAGTGACCAGCCAGTCTAGCCTGTCCATGAACTCCGGTGTCAGAGAGAAACCCTGTCTCAGGGAGCGGCTAGTGATACAGTTGAATGGGAGCTGGGACTTGCTGCTGTACCGGAGGACCTGCTTTCGGTCATGGTGTGTGGCAGAACAAAAGAAACCCTACCTAAAATATCTCTCAAGAGATATGTTCTCAGTGCTTGTCATCTTTAGGGTCACAACTGCCCACATGTTCACAGTAAACAAACACTAACATTCTGTTTGTGTCAAATGACCCTCAGTCTTTCCACATTTGAGAACGGCCCTCTGCAGGTAAGGCAACAAAACTTCCTGTGTTCAAAGAGGAACTCGCATTCCTTGGCCTGGGTAAATGGCACCGTCACTTACCTGGTGCCTTTAGCCACAAGTGTCTGCCTCTGCTGACTTATTTTCCTTAGCTTCATGTCCATCACCTAATTCAGCATATCACAACCTCAATGGAGCCGGTCGATTCAGATCCACTAGGTCTCTGCAGTTACAATAACTGCGAGTGTCTTTTGATTGACTTCCCCTGCTTGCGATAGTGGCATTCCTCTTAACCCTTTTCTGGCGAAGGTCACATTGCAAACTTTTTATTCAGCCTCTTGTCCCAAGCTGGGAGTGTAACTCAGTGGCAAACATTTGGCTAGAATGTGCTAGGCCCTAGGTTCAAGCTCTTGGATCAACAAAACAAAACCAACCCTCACTGGATTCTCTGCACTTGTTTAAGAACGGATGTCCAACCCAGCCCTACTGAGATCCCTCTCAAGTCATAACCACCCCCTCCAACCCCCCACCCCGCTCAGAACTTTCCAGACATAACCCGAGGCTCTTTGCGTATACTACAGATCTTGCTCCAGAATGCTTTAATAGAGATACTCTCACGGACACATAGACCTAAAAATACTCATCAGCCCGAGTGATTCCCAGCACCATTGTCCATAAACAGATGAGTCACCCACTCTGGGAAAATGCATGCGAACTACGTAAGAAACTGAGCCCAACTATGTAAGCTCATGGCTGGAGTAGGAAGGTTTCCAGAGATGCATTTTACTTTATTACCTTGGGCCAGAACTGCTGGGTCCTGCATTTTCTTGTACCTGTTCAGGCACTGCCGGAGATCTTCTATCCTCCGATCCTGTGAAGAACGTAAGCTATCACCACTGCTACAGTTTCAAACAGTAAAGGTAAGTGCTGTGAATTGTTTACACTATTTGAACATTTCCCAAGCTTTAGTCAAAGTGGCAATATCTGTATTTTTCCTATGTGCATCAAAGACAGAAACAGCACCTCTGATCTTACAGATCCAACATGCCATCTTCAAAAACAAAATTGATATAACAGCATTTAACAACAACAACAACAAAACCAAGGGCCAGTGAGATGCTTTAGTGTGGGAAGACCCAACCCGGGGCCGATGGCTTGTGTTGGATCCCAGTGGATAAAATTCCAGAGTGCAGATCCCTAGCATCCACGTAAAGCCAGCAACTAGGGGGCGGGGAAGAAAGACAGAATTGGGTTCCCAGAGCCTGCTGGCCAGCCAGTCAGCAAGCTACAGGGTCTCTGACTGTCTCAAAAAATTAGATGGAGAGCGAATAAGAAGACACTTGAGGTCAGTCTGACCTTGACTTTTATATGCAGGTGCGCGCGCGCACACATACACACACACACACACACACAGACAGAGACAGAGGGAGAGAGAGAACAAAAATGAGAGGAAGCAGCAAAGACGCGAAGGAGTAACAGGATTGGAGAAAGTTGTGATGAGAAAGAACCATCTTCTGGGCATTTTGTATTTCTCTACTCCTTGGAATTAGCCCTTTCTGGGAAATGTCCCTTTGTTCCACTCACTAAGGGAACAGGAGAGAGTGGTCCTGATGTTATAAGCTGAATCCAATGGTTGCTAAGCAGCCAAGATCTGCCAGGTCAGGTCTGTGTTGAGAAGTGAGGAAAACAGACCACAGCCAAGAGCCCTAGTGACAAAGGCAGGGACCACAGGCCTGGCCAGTGTCCCGTTGGTTCACCTCTCAGGAAAGCAAGACAGTTGCTGGGGTGAGAGGTGAGGGACAAGAGGACAGTAACCCCACCTTCTCCGGGGCTGTGCGGGCCTCTGTGAAGCTGGCACTCCACCATTCAGAGCTCACGCTAGCCCAGAATTTCCAGAACATACTCCTCTCATCTGAATAGAAAGAATTCTGATGGTTTCAATATTTTCTAAATCCAAACAGGGAAGGAGGGCGTCAGGATCTCCGTGGAGTCCAGGCTGCTGGCCTCTCTATTCTGTACACACAGACACAGTCACAAGCGACATCGCTGAGACAGTGTGCATGGGCAGGGGGAGACAAGGAAGGTCCCTAACGTCAGTGGAATCGTAAGTGTGTCCTGTCCAGCTGGAGTGGCTCAGGAACCGTGTGGAACAGTCAAAGAGGTGCCGCGGCGCCCACAGGAACAGTGACACTTAGGTTCATTCGGTACCTTCTCTTCATTTGCTGCCATCAGGGACTCCACCGCCTTTTTCATCTTTTGTACTTCAATGTCTGAAAATGACGCAACATTGTTAGGAGGCATCTCAGCTAACCTGTGAGGGCAGTCACGGCTCTTCTGTCCGAAATGTCTCAAGGGAAGTATGGCGAGGGGCAATAAAAGGGGAGCACTTTTGACCTCACCCCACAGCTGTCACCCAGAAAGACAGCGATGTGGGTCGGGGACCGGGAGACGCCCTCTCTTGGAGAAAGAACACAGTCTCCCTTTACACCCTGAGGATGGAATGTGGGCGCGGCAGCAACGACAGCACAAGTTCTCAAAAACGTTAGCCGTGGATGGGCAGTGAGTGAGAGCGATGGGCGGATTTCACAACGACCAGGGCGGAGGGATGGGGCTCGGTCATGACCAAGCTGGAGACGCCATGGTAAGAGCCTGAGCGTGTGTTTATGTGAGCGGTCATGCTGAGAAGCCAGCTGCAGTTCCACAGAATGAAGTGACTTGCTTCATCCACAAGCCTCATTTCTAACGCTGTTTTAAAACAGAGAGCAAGACCCAACAGCCACAGTGTGCAGAGTGTGACTTTCCTGATAATATGGTCGCCAAACACGAGTGTTACTTGAAAAATGAAAACTTCAGGTACTTTTTAATAAAAATGAACATTTAAACCCAAAGTGAACCTACAATTAAAATACAGAAACAGGAAAACATTCAGCTAAAGTTACCAGCTCGTGGAGGAGGGGAGAATCTAGTAATTTAAAAAACTGAACTAATACATTTTCAGTTAGGAATGGCTGCGGTTTGTTTTCCATTTGTTGTTTGTTTTAAAGCAGGTTCATCTAACCTATTAGTTCACTCTCTGCGGCCAATTTAAGGATTTATCTTTCTTTACATGTCACTAGATAGCCCAGGCTCCACAAAGCTCTGGTGTAGGCCCCAGCTAAACAACAAGTTTCCAAACAGACAAAGCAAAGCTCAGCACAAGCTGGAGCTGTGGTGACGAGAGCTGAGTCTCCCAGATGTGTGCTGTCTTGTCTCCTGCACCTCTGCCACCCACAGCAGAGAGTGCACACTTTCTGAGCTCACTTCTCCGTGCGTCCTGTTGCACTCTGGGAAGTGAACGGGCTGCAGGGAAAACCCATGACGTGATCCTGTCCTCTTTACTTTACGGTCTGTCTGTCTAGCCTCTACTTTGCACACCGTGAAGAAATGGGGGCTCGTTGATGAAGCAGCTGCAGATGTTTACAGACAGAAATGTTCTCAACATGCAAAGAACGAGGTGGTGTTGCTGGCTAACGAGGGGCTGATGGAGAGACACCGAAAACCTTACTTTTCTCCTTGAGCTTCTTTTTAACATTTTCATCTGCACAGGAAAACCCATCGGATTCGAAGTTAGCACACATTGCAACAAAAACTCTACCTTAAAAGTCCTATCGTTTGGCTTCCTTTTACCTAAATGCTGGAATGCTAACTGCAAAGGAAGCCAGGTATGAGGCCCTACCGCATGACGTGGGGACTGGCCGCAGATGCGCAAGAGCACGGGAGGCGCAGGAGCGGCTGTGCAGTCAGTTGAGTCGCTGCATCTGAGCTTCAGCTTTCTGTGTGAAAGTCAGGCTCACAAGGCCAGCCAACTGTGATGTGGACTGGCCAGGGCCACTCTGGTAGGTTTTCCCAAATGCAGTCTGACACCCGGTCCTCCTAACTCTGTGCCACAGCCAAATGGAGCACTCAAGTCCCCATGCCAGGAGACAGTCCACTGATGACACAGTATCAGGAGCAGACTGTCAGGAGGTTCCTAGACCCTGAACTCAGCTGGTCCCGAAGTGACAGACAGCAGGCAGTTCAGACTGGTTCCAAGCCCCATTTCTATGTGGACAGTGCTCTCCAAACACACCTCTAGCCCACATACACTCACTCAGTGTCCACTCTATTCATAAACTCTAAGCGTGGGACTGCCACTATGGTTCAGTGGTAGAGCATGGGATTTTTAGCAGATCCGATCCTAAAATTGGGGTCTATTTCTGAATGTCCTATAACAAACCAGGGAAGGAAAGCCCATGTCTACGGCTTGAGAAATTGAGTTTCCGATGGGTAAGGAAATGGATAAAATGCTACTTGTTTCCATATACGATACAGCATGACACAGCTCCACCAGCTGGAGTCTGGCTGTCCAAACCAGGAAACTGCTCTCATGTCCGGCACCACGGCTGCCACTGGACATATTTATGTATGCATACATGTATCAAAGGGAAGGTAAAATCTGATCTAGTATTCCAGATGCTATACATATTTCAAGATTAAAAAAAAAAACCGAATTGGGGGGGGGTCTCCCTGTGTCATCCAGCCTGGTGGCCAACTACGATCCTTCTGCTTCAGTGTCCACGAACTGGGGCGGCAGCTGTGTGCCACTCACTGGACCCACACGTCACTGGGGCTGTCTTTCTGTTGTGCCCCGCCAGCTCCTCTCCTGTAGCCCACAGGACCTGCACAGAGCGAGGAATCAAGCACTAGACCATCAGTCTCACCTCGATCGAGGACGTCCACCCCTTCTCCTTTGGTCTTGCACACCAGTCTCTCCTGCAATCTTTTGACTTCACAGTCCTTATCTTCCAGCTGCTCTTTTAAAGATGTCAATTCATCCTACAAAGTTACAGATTCATTTTAATACAGGAGACCATGGCGGAAGAGGAGTATCTCTAGAGCATACTGGCCCTTAACGTCAACTCAAGACTCTGGGAATGAGACAAAACTCTGCAGAACTTACATGTGAACACAAATTAGACAGAGGCTATGATGAGCACTATTAATATGACTAATTTGTAATCATCACAGTGTCACTGTTTCAGGTTTGTGAGCAAGTGTAAGAAGAAATGGAAACATAATCAGGGCAAGGTATTCCCTAAAGTTGGCCTACATTAAATCAGAAAGTCTCGCCAAGTTAGTCAAAGGAGATGGCCAATGTTAGTCACTTGTCAGAAAAGCAAAATAAAATACAAATTCAAAAAGGCTTGCTTGGCTTCCTCAAGCATTTCAAGGCGACTCATGATTCTGGGATAACCACTGGGCTTCAGTAGCCAAGGGGAGGCAATTCGGGGGTGGCTGTGACCAAACCATGCTCTAGATCACTGAGAAAGACAAACTCCTGCAGCAATGGGAAAGGGGAATCTAGAAAAAGAGGATTTAGGTCTTCCTTTTGAAATGGCGGGCCTGCAAAAGCTTCTGAGGCCACTGATGTATTCGTTAACATTTTAAATTTTGCTTTAGAAAGTTCTAGCCATAGCAAGTTCGTATTTTGCAGGCTGTATCTGACGCAGACACCAGTTGTGCAATGACAATATGCCCGCCTCTTATTCAGTGTGGGATTTACTCTCAGACTTTTCACTCCGCTATCTGGACATGCAGTGTTGAAAAATCCACCCAGGAGGCCAAGGTGGCCCTGCACACCTGACTTATGGCAAGGATGGAGTCAAGTTCAGAAACCTTCACAACCCTGCAGGAGGTACCGACCCCTCTCCCTGCAGGACTTCTAAGCAGTGGCTTCTCTTCCCCTTCACAAGGAGGAACTCATACACTGACCTTCCAGAAAACCCTAACAGAGAAGAGCAGGCTCCAGTTATTGAAATGAATTCTTCCCCAGGTGAACTTCCAACAACTGTTTTATTATGCTTAGGGGCCAGACAGTCCAAGAAATAAGCGTATGCGCTAATACTGTCATATTTGACCTGCTCACTAGTGACATTAGAGATCTGTTTGTCCTTTCAGTCAGGGTGTATGTATTCTCAATAAACAGGTGACACGCACACACACGCAAACACACACACACACACAATGAATGTGCATGCTGCTAAAAACACCATCACGGCAAAACGACACAAGCCAAGAGGAAGGCGACAGCAACTGGGCTCCCGCCAACGTCTACTCCACCTTCAGGGACTCCCACTTCTGCTCCATCCGCTGCTTCTCATACTGCATCTGACCCACCTTGATTTTCATGCTAGAGAGTTTGGCCATTACAGACTGGGAGAGAGACAGAGGAGAGAGAGCGAGGCAGAAAAAGACAGACTGAATCACCAGGAAAACAGCACCAGTTCATAAAGAGGGTTGGCTACAGAAACAGCAGGCCGTGTCCCTTCCAGTTAACCAAGCCTTGGGTTGTACTGAGAACTCTAGTGAGCTCAGCGTCTCCAGCTTCAGGGAAACCCTGTGTACTTGGATGATGTGCTCGTTGTCACGTACTAGTTGGAAAATATTTTTTATAAGATTGTTCACAGAATGGTAGACCATGCTTAAAAATTATTTTCCCCCCCAAGAGAACTTACTTTAGTTGCCTTAAGTTTTTTCTCATACTGAAGTCTTTCACTGTCCATCTCACTGACTTTTAACCTCAAATCATTGATCTCTTGTATTAGCCCCTGTCCAAAAAGAAAAAATAATAATGATTAATTAGAAAAGGGTAAAGCACCATTAGCAAAGGAGTAGCCAGGAGGCCCTAAGCCAGCAACAGCTCCTCGGAGATGAGCCATTGAGAACCAGTCCCAACAAGGGGAGATCCAGTGAAATCCACCCAACAGCCAAGCCACGCATCCGCTAAAACCCTGACCTAAGTTTCCAGGACCCCTGCCCCTAGTGCTGGGCCAATGAAAACTAATGCTGCCATGATTCTGACTAGGAAAATGCTAGTGCTGGTATCCCTGGACCAGGTGCCCAGCGTAATGCTGGAAGGTATGGGGTGACGGGATTGTGGGACCATGGCGCCTCCCACTTTTCTGCTTCCTGGTCATGAGGGAAGTGGCTTTCCCTGCCATGCACTCCAGGACAAGGTGCTGCTTCAATGCTGGCTCACAAGCAACGGGGCCCACTCGTTCTGGACTAAATGCTCTAAAACTATGGGCTAAAACAGACATTTTATAACCTGTCGTGAGTGTCTGTCACAGTGATGTGAGCTTTATAACCTGTCGTGTCTGTCACGGTGATGTGCCCGAGTTTCCGTTCTGTTGCTATGATAAAACGCTCTGACCAAAAGGGTCTCTTGGGCTTACACTTCCAGGTCACAGTCCACCACTGAAGCCAAGTCTGGGAGCTGGAGGCAGGAACCATGAATGCTGCTGGCTGGCTGGTGCACCTGGCTAATGCTCACTTAGCTTCTTATACAGTCCAGGAGATGGAGGCCCTACAGTGGGCTGGGCCTGCCTACACCAATTAGGTCAAGCAGGACAATTCCTCACGGGCACAACAACCTGACAAAGACAAATGGCTGACTGGGCTGTGACTAGTGATTCTAGTCGGTGCTTACTAGCATGATGGAAATGGGACCAACTCACAAGGGCAGTCTACCATCCAACCCAAAGCCACTCAGTGCCCATTTATGTATGCAGACTATCTAAGGACCCCCACCCTGTCACATGAACTAGAGGTGTTCTCTGGCACAGCCATTGAAGACCCTTTTCTGCGACACAGTAGTAGTAATCTGAAGATTTCCTCAATTGTTTGTCTAGTCTACAAAATAAAGACTCAAATTTCCTTAAACTAAGAATCTCACCCTGAAGGTATATGAAAGTCTTGTGTGTGTGTACGTGTGTGCTCACATATTCAAATATCCAATACAATAATGTAATTTTATATGTGCAAAATTTTAAAAACCCAAATGTTTCATAACAATATAATTTAACACCATTTCTACTGTCACTTAAAAAATGTGCTTTCAAAATTTGCCCAAATATTCTGAATTTGGATTTAAAAAGTGTCAGTTTCCCTCATTTGCCCATCGTCCCTGCACATAAGTCAGGAGTGGCCCTCCTCCCCTTGGTCTTTAGACTCAGCTACTGTCAGCAGGCATTGCTGTAAACACTGCCGATTTCTTCTGTGCTGACTGCAAAGAGGAAGCAACAACTACAGAAACTGAACTACATATCAGGGTCATTTTCCCTTATGCAAGTCAGGCAATGGTGGCGCTTGCCTTTGATACCAGCACACTAGGGAGCCAGAGGCCAGACTGGTCTATGAGTGAGTTCTAGGATTCCAGGACAAACAGAGCTACAAAGAGAAACCATGTTTAAAAAAAAAAAAAAAACAACCAAAAGAAAGAAAGAAAGGGAAGGAGAGAGGGAGGGAGGGAGGGAGGGAAAGAGGGAAAAAGAAAGGCAGGCAGGAGAGAGGGAGGGTGGAAGGAAGATAAGATTATCCAGTTGTTTTTGGTAGTGATGAGTTAAATATGACTCTGAAGTTCCAACATGGAAGAAGTCAGATATGCCCATAACAAGTCTGGCTGGAAAACATGGCACTATATAATATTTATTAGATGGGATATAAAACATGGCACTATATAGTATTTATTAAACGGGATATAAACTACCTCAATTAGCTTCAGTTTAGGCTCCTTGCAGAGCTCTGTGGTTCAGCCATCTATGCTCATACCAGAAGGGGGCGCTGTTGAATGAGCCAACCCATTCCCACTAGCAAGTTCCAGGACAGGCAAGTCCTAAATCTTCAAGGTTTAAAGATGCTAATGCACTACTCTTTTGGAAATGCCTATAAGTGTTCCTTACTTCAACATTTTCTTAGAAACTAATATCCAAACTCTCTAAAATACTCAAATAGTGTTAAGAGATTTGGGATTACAGGGATATCTAGGTAAATATTTTATTTTTAAGGAAACACTGAACCAGAACATTTACATATTTCCTTCTATTTCAACCTTTGGAGGCTATTTTGATTATTTTTTTTATAAAAATCACAATAATATTCTGCAATCTGCCCTGTGAATATGTGCACTCCATTTTATCAGTAGTGTGGATTATTCATAGGAAACGATCAGGGACTGTGTTTCCCGGAAGTGTGCTCACAGTGTGACTTGGCATCTGAGCGAGAACACACCCGTGAGGAGAACGGAAACGGGAGAAACAAGGCACGGCACAAAACTCAGGCAGACTCAGGCGATGTAGGTGCGGCCCTGGGATCCTACCAAAAGGGCCAAGAACACCAGCTGCAGTTAGTCAGTTCCCCTGACTGGCTAACCTCACACCCAGACTAAACTAAGCAGCGTACAGGGGAAGACTTCACTAAACCTTGCCTACGTGGTGTGGGCAGCCTCCTCCCATCTCCACCCGTGGAAGGGTCCTTCTGTAGCCCCAGCCGGGGCTTAAGTGTACAGACAGCGATGACAGGATGAGGGAAAGGAAAACATCTTAGCAGATTCCTGTAGCAAGTATTAAAATGAAGGCAGGCGGTGGTGGCACACACCTTTAATCCCAGCGCTTGGGAGGCAAAGGCAGGTGGATATCCGAAGTCAAGGCCAGCCTAGTGTACAGAGTGAGTTCCAAGACAGGCAGGGCTACACAGAGAAGCCTTGTCTTGAAAAAGACAACAAAAAAGGATTAAAGTAAGACTTCCAAGGGACTGGGTCACGCGTCTTGGTGAGTGTGGAACGAGCTCTTAAAAGGGACTGACAGGCAATTTCAAGGTTAGAACGTGAATCAAGACGGTTATTTCCTTCTGCCACAAAGGAGGTAAACAATCAAGGCTTTCCACTGTAACAGATCCTGGATGGGAAACTTTATTTTAGAAATCACAGTGGAGTAAGTTGTAACATCTCAAGCTTGATGTCACACGGTACTGATAACACAGAGTCAATATGCAGACATTTGACATGAAGGGAGAGAAAAGGAACCAACCCTGCTCCCTCTCCTTCCTAGCACTCATTTTCTGACCGAGGACACTGCCCCATATCCTTAACCAAGAAAGAAAACAGAAAGGCAGAGGTGGTGCCCCGAGAAGGGATTTCTGCGGCTCCTTCAGTCACGTCCTCCTCCCCTTCCCTTCCCTTCCCGCTGTGGTGCCCGGGACTGAGCTCAGTGCCTTGCATGTGCTGGAAAAGGGTCCTGCCGCTTAGTGGCACCCTCAGCCCTAGGCTTCATCCTAAACCAAGACTTGAACAGAACAGATGTCCTCGTCTCTCCCCAACGCACAGACTAACAATACAACAAGAGAAGAAACAGCGAAGTTGCCCTGGCTGCAAGTACTTTAAAGACTTTCTTTGTGTGTGTGTCCGTGTTCCCGTCCAAAGACATCCTCTGTGTGTGTGTGTCCGTCCACAGAGAAAGTGATTTTGAGCCCCCGTTTTGGGGGCTGAGAACCAAATTCCAGCCCTCTGCACGAGCCACAAGCTAACTGCTGAGCTGTTGTGCCACTCCCCCACAGGTACTTTTCCTTGTAGGATTCCCTCTAAATTTCATAAAATACAGAGAATTTTAGTTAATTAGATGATTTACATGTGGAATGTACTAAAAGTCAAGAGCCAAAGAAAACGGCCTCCGAATGCTGGGATTCTGTGAATGTTTAACACGAGGTTTCTGAACGTGAACACATCCCCCTAAGACATAGTAAATGACCAGTGAGCCCAACTAGGGACAACTGGTGAAACATGCACTTAGATACGCTATTTCAAATTTAGAAAAACCAGCATGGTTCTGTCGGTCAGGTGCCACAAATATCTTAATATTTCAAACAAACAAAATCTCTAAAAAACAGACACAAAACTGGAACTAGCAATTCCTGAAGAAATTACAATGTGATTAAGGTTTATTTTAGTTCTTTTTATTTATTATTTTTATTATTTTTCTGAGACAAGGGTTTTAGGGTGCCCAGTCTACCCTCAAACTCCCTATGTTACAGAGGCTGTCTCTGTACCCCGATTCTTGTCCTCTGTCTCTCAAGTGCTGGGATCACAGGCATGTGCCACCACCTCTGGTTTATTCTGTCTTTGGAGTGGTGCTGAGGATAAAACCCAGGGTTTAGTGAGCCGTGATCATGAGATCTATCACTGAGCTACACCCCAAAACTGAAAACTTCTTACAAGGAAATGGGATGAGAGCATACTGTGACTAGCTACCGTCCCTCACACCTCTGAACACACTGTGACTAGCTACCATCCCTCACACCTCTGAACACACTGTGACTAGCTACCGTCCCTCACACCTCTGAACACACTGTGACTAGCTACCGTCCCTCACACCTCTGAACACACTGTGACTAGCTACCGTCCCTCACACCTCTGAACACACTGTGACTACCTACCGTCCTTCACACCTCTGAACACACTGTGACTAGCTCCCTCACACCTCCGGGAACTTCAAACTGTCTTGGGAATGTGTGCGTGCAGGCTAAGGGGGGAGGGGAACCAGCACACTACTCACCTCCGTGTCTCTGAACCTGTCTTCATAATCCAGTCGGTCCTTCTCGACAGCTGTCAGCTTTAACTTCAAGTTAGAGACCTCGGCCATGAGCTCCAGCTTCTGTGTTTCTAACGAGGTCCTGCTCAGGAGTTCCTGTTAGGATTTCAGAGCAATAGTCACAAGTCATTTTATTATAAATTTCTGTCATGACTGAAAAGAGCAACGATTAGGTGTGGTCTGTGGGTGTCACTCTGCTGACGACCTTCTTCTAAGGACCTTCTAAACACAGCATCAGGCTGTCGAGAAGATGCAGCTTTTGCTTACACTGCTAAGCCTGATGACAACACTGCTGTACACGGTGCTTGCTATGTGCCAGCAACTAGGAGACAATCCCTGCAACAATCTCAGGAGGTAGAAAAGCTTATCAGCCGCATTGATCAGGGTTTCTAGGGACCTGGAAACTGAGGGACTGAGAGGTTGCAAGCCTTTGGAGTCAGGCAGGCAGGCAACGGCAGCAGACATTCAACAGAAGTGGTTTTGTTTCCATGTGTTCCACGTGTTCCGTGTGTACTTTGTCCACTGCATCACCATGCTTCTCAATCTACAAGCCCTGTGTGTGCACATGGATGCACGCATGTGTGAATTTTTTTTTTTTGCCTAAAAACAAGTCACATGTGGTTTTTATCATCTCATGGTTGGGAGTTGGAAATAATACAAACACAAAAGATCAATTTACAATTCCTGTAACATTGTATTCTCTTCTAGATGGCTAACTTTGTATGTCTCTTTTTTTAGACTATAACATTGTATCTGTTCTAATTGTCTAACTTCTTAAATCTGTGCTTTGAGACTCTGCTCCTCCTAGACTCTAAATACACCAGTTGCTAGGATTCTGGAATTTACTGCTGCAGACACCAGATAGGAATGTTGCACCTCCGATAAAAGAGTTTGGCAGGCCCCTCCCCCACCTGCCAGCCCATACCTGCTGCAGCATCTCCTCAGTGGCGTTCAGCTTCTCTCTGTGCTCTTCAAGACAAAACTCCAAATCTCGAATCTTCTCTCCCTGAGCCTCCACTTGGTCTGTCAACACACTCACCTGTTAATTTAAAGCAAAGGGCGGCAATGAGTTTGACAGACTTTGGGTCCCAAAGCATGCTTCATTCCCTAACTGGAACAGTAAGACCCATCACTCACTGATGTGGGATGTCCTTTAAGATATGTGTTGCTTTTATTGGTTGCAGATACCAAGAAGCTGCTGAAGGAGAAAGAGGCCGGAACCCTACCAGTAGAGCACAGCCTTGTGGTGATACATAGATTAGTAATAGTGTGTTAATTTAAGATGTTAAGAGCTCGCTAGAAATATGCCTGAACCATTGGCCAAATGTAATTATAGTTTCGGTGTGATTATTTGGGTCTGGGCAGCCAGGAAATGAACGCACAGTCTCAGCTTACAACTCATGGTGGTTGAAGACATCCCAGATTTAACAAGATGGCAATGGTCTTTTACTTTGTTTTGTGTGGATCAAACCTAGGGTCTTGTGCATGCTAGGTAGGCCCTATGTTGCCTTATGACTTAAAGATTCCTATTCAGTTAGGAGAAACTTGGTGCGGATCTAGAAATATGCACTACTTTACATATTAAAATCACTTCAGTAATAAGAATCTATAAAAAATTGTTGATTTCTGAGGTGATGGTAAAGAACTAAGGTTAGAGGGCAACAGAGGGAATGAGATCCGCACTTGAAATAGACAGTAAGGACCACGCAGATCTCACGCTTCAATAATAAAAGGAGCAAAAACGAGTAAAGAACTCAGATTCTATAAACTCTTTCAACATCAACGTGGTCCCAGATTTGCTCAGAGCCAGGGCAGGGTGAAGAGCGGTGTACTGTTTCCACTGTGTAGGATCCAGAGTTCAGCTGCCAGAACCACAAAGGAAAAAGAAAAAGGCCGAGTGCACACAACACACTCAAATGTCTCCAGAAACAGTGGGGTTCATCTTTCGTCCTCCAGGTCCCATGCAGATCTGCAGGGCTCTCCTCAAGAATGACCAGCTGAGTAAACACACTTTGATCTGGTTAGTTCAAAGAACAAAAATGAAGACATTTGCTCTGTACTCAGAAACACCATGAGCAAGCAAACAAACATCCCACAGCAGTTCCCAACAGCAGGCTCCACTCGGGCTGCTTTGTTTGGTCCCTGTATCATTTTCAAAGCTGGAAGGTTAACATATATTCAGGCTGAGATTTTTACACTACAGGTGTCCACAGATCTGAGTTTCTAGGTCAAATGTATGTAAAGTCAGGTCCTGTGGCACATTTACTACAGGTGCAATGTGCTCAACACATACGTGACTCTACGTGTCCTGAGAAGGGAATGGCCTTAAGCACCACTTGCCTGAAGAACGAGGGATTCCTTGTCATTTTCCAGACGTGCCAGCCTTTCTTGATAGACGTCTCCATTCCCAGGCAGATGTCCGTTTGTCTAAGCAAGAAAATAACATTGATAAGGTCAACTCTTCTTTAGAATTGAAATGTTACAAATCAGAAGACTGACATTTTAAATTTAAAGGGCCTGAATTGAATCAGCACAACTGTCACTTCCATGAATGGAAGATGCGAGGATTAATAATTCTTCAGATAAGTATGACAGGGAAAGTGAGCACGTACAAACAGGGAAGCATCTAGTCACAACTGCCTGACCTACGCCTGTAACCAGAGACTGCTCGTTTGTTTCCCAGTCGCCCAGACCCGAATAATCACACAGAAACTCTATTAATTCCAACACTGTTTGGCCAATGGTTCAGGCATACTTCTAGCTAGCTCTTACATCTAAAAGGAACCCATTTCTACTAATCTATGTATCACCACAGTAAGGCTTCTAGTGTGTTACTCCTTTGGCAGCTACATGGTGACTCTTTGACTCTGCCTACTCTCTCTATCTCTGTTCAGATTTCCTGCCTGGCTTTACTCTGCTAAGCCATTGGCCAAAACGATTTTATTCATTATCCAATAAAAGCAACACAGATACAGAAGGACATCCCACATCATACACCAATTCTGAGCAAACAGAAAACAAGTACCCGGCTATGATAAAACGCTGACCACAGATGACCTGGGGAGGAAAGGATTTCTCTTACTTTATAGTACACCATAGTAGAAGTCAGGACAAGAACAGAACGATAGAGGAATGTTGCCTACTGGTTTGCTCCTCATGGCCCGCTGAGCCTGCTTTCTTATACAACCCAAGACCAACCGCCCAGGAATGCCCTCACCTGCAGTGGGCTGAACCTTCTACATCAGTCATTAACTAGTAATACAGCCTATAGGCCTGTCTACAAGCCTTTTCTCAGCTGAAGTTCCTCTTCCAAATGTCTTTAGATTGTGCCAAGTTCACAAAAAGCTAGCTAGCACACACTATAAAAGTGACTGTCAGGGGCCACAGGCACAGCCCTAGGGCATGCAAAGTTCTGAGCAGCCTGCAGAAGACAAGACTCCATCTGTCCCTGAAGGACGCCGGTCACTAAGTTTGCATGTAAAACAGTGACTATGACCTGTGAAGTCCTCCCATTCCTCCAATTCATCCCCAGGTTCCACAGGACTGTCAATACCTGTTGTTGGAGCAGCCGGCAGGGGTGATGTCTGCCAGGATTCTCCCTGCCCACTCAGCTCTCCACTCTCCATGGAGGCTCCCACCTAGGAAGCCTTCAGAAGCTCCCCCACCCCATTTGACTTAAACACTCAGTCCAAAGTCATTTTCCTATGAAGCCCTGACTGTCCTGGAACTCACTATATAGATCAGGCTGGCCTCGAACTCATGGAGATTCACCTGCCTGTGCATCTTGAGAGCTGGGATGAAAGGTGTGTGTCACTATGCCTGACGTTTTCTTCCATTTTTTTCATACCCGAGTCATGAAAGAGCAAGAAACATAAAACTGTCACTCTGAAACACAGTAGTGGTGTGGTAGTTTGAACGTAATTGGCCTCCATGGGCTCATAGGGAGTGGCACTATCAGGAGGTGTGGCCTTGGAGGAAGCGTGTTACTGTGAGGGTGGGCTTTGAAGTCTCATATACGCTCAAGTACATCCAGTGTCTCAGACCACTTCCTGTTGCCTGTGGGATCAAGAAGTAGCTCCTTTTCCACTCTCAGCTCCTTCTCAGCACCAGGTCTGCCTACACGCCTCCCGTCATGACGATAAGGGGCTAAACCTCTTAAACTGTTAAGTCCCCCATGGTGTCTCTCCAGAGCAACAGAACCCTAAGACAGAGTACTGAGACACCCCTTTACTCTCCCTCTTTCTTCTTTGTCCTCCCTTCTCTAGAATGTCACTCTGTTGTCCAGAAATACGCTCCTGCTTTAGCCTCCTGGGATTACAGACATGAGACTCTATGCCCAGCTTGGGATGTGTTCCTTATAATTTCATTTAAATAGCTTATAACCACATTATATATTTTATCCAGAGGATTCCCTGAATGTTCTTGTAAATACAACAGAGATAAAAGCCAAATGGAATCCAATATAGACAGGCGGGGCACCCAGAATTCAACTGAAAAGGCAATCCCTCAGAGTTAGGATCAGAAAAAACACCAATTGTGCTCCCTTCTTCCCCAGGAACATCTGATGTGACATCCATTCTTTCTCCAGAATTAACCTGCATCTCCAGTTTCCTATTTCAGTTCTGGGACTGACAGATGTCATGTGTTGAAAGCAAACCAAAATGGAAAAAGGAAGAGGAGGAAAGGGAGGAAGAAGGGGGAGGAGGAGGAAGGGAAAGGGGGAGAGGAAGACGTGTGGGAAGGGGAAGAAAGATGGAAGGATTAAATCTGGGGCATTCCTTCTGAAGATGGAGACGTGCTGGATTATATTTCCCAAGACGCCACAAAAATTTAAAAGCTAATTTATCAAGTGTGCAATGCACATTTAGAATGAGTGTGATGTTAACACCAGCTGTCCACCACACACCTGCACACTACTGCGGCACAACCCTGTTCACACTGCTAACTCAAGTGCCCAGAATGTGGGTGTGATGTTAACACCAGCTGTCCACCACACACCTGCACACTACTGCGGCACAACCCTGTTTACACTGCTAACTCAAGTGCCCAGAATTAACTTACAAGAGTCTGATGGAGTAGTCGGAACGACTAACAGCCCCTGGGGACCATGAAAATGAAATGTTCATAACTCCTTGAGGATAGTCTTCTGGAAAGCAGCCAGAACACATGACGTATGTTCTTAATCTATGAAGGTGCAGAGGCAGGGCCTGGACGACTTTCAAGCCCTCATTTTGATTATGCACATTATGAGTCATCTGTTTTTAAAATCCAATGCAAGGAATGTCTATAATCACATTTCATTAGATTAAAAAAATGCTTTATGTACGATGAGGTAAGAGGTAGAATCTTCTAGTTTTGTCTCTCTTTAACAGAAAGGGTACGGCTCCTTATGTTGACCAGGCTGGCCTCAAACATCTGGGCTCAGGCAGATTTCCTGCCCTAGCATCCTGAGTAGCTCTGACAATAGTCATGTGCCACTGAGTCAAAACAAAATGCACACTTTCATTTTTCCTCCTGGGGTTCTGGCTGGGGTCTGAACCCAGGGTCTCACATGAACGCTCATCACAGAGAAGCACTCACATGCTCTACGGCTGAACTCCATCCTGTTCCTTCATTCTGAGAACAAGAGACTCTAGCCAGATTGGCAGCATTCTTTTAGGCCAAATATTATATAGAAATGAAGTATTTCAAAACCAGTTCTCCAAATGCCGAGAACTGACTCAAAATGAGCAAATGAATCAGAAATGTCCTGATGTGGATAAGTGCTTATAATACTCAAAATCAGCTAGTATTTCTGAGGCATTAATAGTCCCCACAGGAACTGGAAGTAAAAAGTCTCAGGAATTGCTACATAGAGTGGTAATGTATTTAAGTAGATAAGGAGCTGCTCAGGGGACATGCCTTCTTTCTTCCTGCTACTGCTTAAGAACGCTGGAGCTAAGCCCACCAGGTACCTGTCACCTCTGTCCACCTTCCCCCAAGTGGCACACCCTGCACTCACACAGGCATCCCCTTTACCCGGACATCTCTCTCTTTCCCTTTCTTATTTTTTTCTTCAGCCTTCCCTACCTACCTACATTTGGGTCTGGTCTGTAAAGGTTTCCTCGAATGAAGGGCTCATTCATAAACTCCGCCGCAACGCACCCTGCTCAGGGGTGACCCCCACTACACATAGAAACGGTGCACTGTGAGCGATTCTGTGTCTCACTGGAGCGCTTAGCTAAACGACGGGCGAATGAAGGGGCAGTGAGCGAGAAGTGCCCGGTACCTATGGGTAGGACACAAGGTGAGTACCTGGGCTGGCTCTAGTTACGCTTCTTTCCGGTTAAGCACTTCTCACTTCAGAGGTCTTTGCTGTATTAGTTCACCTCCTTCTTCAGAAGACCCCTCCCCCCAACATCCGTCTTTCCTCTTTTCCTTCAGTCCAGAGGTGAGATTTGCTTGGCAAAGCTCATTCTCCTACATCCTCCCTGGAACCTTAGTCTCCTGCTTCCCTTAGCCCTGCAACTGTGGGTTCTGTGCCCACTCCTGCTCACCTCCCGATCCCCTTGTCAACCCATCTTTCATGACTGGCTCTACTCTTCTTCCTGATAGTGTGTCAATCTCTTCTCCTCATCTAATGGCCTCCCTTTCACGTCCTGTCCCCAACGTCACACATCAGCTTTTTATCACATTCCGCCACTAACGACCAATCACCAAATTTATGTGACCTGATCACTGTAACGCTACCCTCGGTGTCAACTTCACACATTTAGGAAAATGGTACCTTAATCAACGAATTGCCTACATAAGACCAGCCTGTGGGGCATTTTGCTTAGCATTCTTTGATGTAAGAGGGCTTGGTCCACTGCGGGTGTTACCAACCCTAGGCAGGGGAGGGCTGCAACATTAAAAAGGTAGCTGAATATGAGCCAGAGAGTAAGCCACTAAGCAACTGTCCGCCAGGCTTCCTGAGCTGAGCTCCTTGGTGGATTGTGATTTGAAAGTACAAATCAAATAAACTCTTTCCTTCCAAAGCTGCTGTTTATATAGCATCAGAAAGCAAACTAGAACAACCATTTATTCTTCCTAATAGTCTCTTAGTGCAAAATCCTCCTATATTTCTTTTCATCCTTCCAGAAGGCTTCTAAACTACGATGTACACCATTAAAAACTGTACTCATTGCAAGTTCCTTACAGATTCCTACGTCCAAAGCATCAAAGCCCACCCCAAGTCACGCTATTTAAGTCTTCTGAAATGCATGCGAGATAGCCCTTTACACTTTAGTGTGCGACAAGTCTCACTGACAACTTCAATCCCGCTGCATGAGTCAACAACAGGATGGACAGTATCCTCCGCTGTCACAGATTCACTCATGGAACTTACAGTCAGGTCTCCCTGGCACGATGAGGAGGAAAGCATCTAACAAGTAATGTCTTTTTCACAGTTAGAGACCCCTGGAGCTAGCCAATCGTTTGATCTGGGAATGTGACTTCTCTGAGCACAATGTAGGTACACACAGGATGAGGGCATGGCCCCCCCTCGTTCATTCCTGTGCCAGGAATTCCATTGTGTTACCGGCATAGCGAGCCTAACATGTAGGAGCTGCTGGCATCCAGTCACATGACCGCTTTGCCACAGGTCATTTCAGACGCACGTAAGAGTTAGAAGGAAATGCTACCTCTGTCTGCCATCTGGTCTCCACAGTTCTCAGCTCACTGGAAGGGGAGCCCTTGCCTGCTTTGTGGCTAATCTCCCCTCTGTCTTGCTCTGTTCTCTTTATTGAATCCCAGACCAGCCAGGACCGGTGGCACACACCTGTCATCACAATTCTGGAGTCCAGACAGTCCGGTCCTGAGCCAGTGCTCATTTGTCACCAGCCAATTTACATTGATTTTTAAGTACTTTATTAGCATATACTAATTACACAGGATAACTGGCTGTGTGTGTGCGCACGTTTGTGTGCGTACACGTGACACACTTGGAGCACATTTACCTTTACACTTACACTGGAGTGTATTCACCCTGCCCCCACTCACTGAGCTCCTTCTGTCAGCTACCCCCGTTTTACTTTCATTTCTTCTTCTGTCTTTTTAAAGAGTTTATCTAGTTACTTACAGGAGCATGGGCAGCTCACCAGAGGCTACAAACTGAAGGAAATGGCTCTCCCGCCCCCAGCAGCTCCTCTGGAAGAGGCACCCTCCCCTCCACACGAGGGAGTGCTGACATGCCCGATCTTGTGCAGCAATCACAGCTGCTGAGTTCGAGAGTCCCACAGCCACGCCGGCCCTGAAGACACATTCTCCACCACTCCACCCTTCTCCAGCGCTTACTTTATCTCCCACCCTCTTCCAAAATGTCCCCTGATCTTGCAGGGTATTTGGATTTTTGAGTGCAGACAGTATGATTCATCTTTCAGTGGTGGTGCAGTTAGGAGGACAACTCCAGCAACTGGAGATGCTCTGCCTTTGAAAACAGACGGTGCCTGTTTGTGAGACTTGACATTTGTTCTAGGGGTGTCTTCCTCAGAGACGTAAAGGTCCAGGTGTGCTGGGGGGGTACCTTAGTGCTCTGAAACTCACTGCTCCCTGGCACACTGCTCAGGCTATTCCTACTTCCTGTGTCTTTACGTTCAGCACACACTGAGGAAGCAATTCATTACTGGCAAAGGACTTTCTCCTCACTCACACGCAAAGGCCACCAGTGGCAGCCATGGCTCAAGAGGACCTGTCGATAACCGACTTGAGCCCAGAACACTTTCTGTAACACGTGCTTAATCTAATCTGTGAAAGCGTTTCTGAAGAATGAGGGCGGAGCTTAGTGATAGAGAACTTGCCAAGTGCACATGGCTCTGGATTCCATGGCCAGAAATACAAACAAAATTGCTGGTGGCCAGGGAGATGGATCAGCAGGTACAGTGGCAGCCACATTAGCACGAGGCCGGCAGTCAGATCCCCAGAACCTCCACAAAAGCTGGGTGAGCACAGCAGCCTGCCAGTCAGTCATTCCAGGGCTGGAAGGTAGGATGTGAGACAGAGGATCCCCAGGGCAAGTAGGCTGGTAAGACTGGCTGACCTGGTAAGCTCTGGGTTCAAGTGGGAGACCCTGACTCAATGTACCAGGCAGAAAGTGATCAAGGCAGATACTGAGTATCAAACTCAGGCCCCCATACATACACACAAGCAACCGTGTGCACACCCATGCCCTGGTTTCCACACACACATAAACATGCATATATGCACACACAGAATATTTTCCGCACAATGATAAACGCAGTAGTGACAATGGAGATGCCTAAATTTAGGTTACAAGTTAGAGCATGGCTCTTTGGGAAACAGCCAGGGGTGGAGTCACTGACCACCAAGCCGGTTAGGAATGTGCCGGCTGCTCACACCAGCTGGAAAACTTTCTCTGGCCACCATCTATCTTAGTCCTTTCGTATTTCAGGGCTCATTCAAAAGCTGTGTTCTGAGCGACGCTTTTGCCATCTCGTCTGAAGTCATAGGGCTCCGTTCTTTCTCCCTGCTGGGGTTTGTCCCCACACCCACCATGTTCTCAGTTCCTCTCCACTGACCATGCTTATGCATGAGTTTCCAGTCTTCCCAAAGGGATGTCAGCACCAGGACTCGGGGAAATTGGTTTCCACTGTGCTCCCCACGCCCCGAGCAGCGCCGAGTGCAGCGGGCACGGGATAACGGTAACGAGAGCTACTCCACACACGGCCAAGCGCCCCGTGCACTTACAAGACGGGAAGGGGCTCGGGGTGTCCTGCCGGGCGGATGGCTGTTTGGGGTTTTTGTTTTAAGTTGTAGTCTGTCCTCATATTTGACATTTTAACTTGAAGAATCCAGAAAATGACAAACACTTTACAGAACTAACAAAGATTCCATTGCGTCAATAACATTCCAACAGTAACAAAATACAGTACCCATGGATCGAGAGAGCATAGAGTTTTCATTCTCGACTTATTCAGGCCTAACTCACTCTGCCTGTTCCTTCGTCCATCCCAAACCTTCCAAACCAAGTCAATGCTTTCTCTCAGGCACATGGAGAGGAAGGAAGGAAGGGAGGGAGGAAGGGAGGGAGGGAGGGAGGGAGGGGAGAGGAAGAGTAGGGGGGCAGGGAAGAAGGGAGAAAGAGAAGAAGGAAGGAGAGAAAAAGAGGAAGGGAGGGAGGGAGGGAGGAAGGGAGGGAGGGAGGGAGGGAGGGAGGAAGAGGCAAAAAGGACAAAAGGCAAAGGACAAGGCATGAAGAAGTGGCCATGGGAGGAACAGTCAGGAGCCTGAAGAAGCCACCACCTCCCTGTCACAGTGCACCTGGTGCAGCACTGAGAGTCCAACTGGAAGACAGTCTGACACTTATAATTTCATGACTTCTCCACTGAGTATTTCACAAGTCAAGGTGTATGTCAATATATTAATGGGGGTGTACGTATATATGTAGTTTAGCTGGGATTCACTCTTCCCTTTTCACTGTTTCTTAGTAGGGTGTCTAGAACGGTTAAACTCTCAGACACAGAAAGACAACAGAGCGCATGGGATGGCATCTAACAGCACAGACGTGGAGATTTCAAGGTGGAAAGACCTGCTCAGGTCGAGGAAGGATGCAGTCTGTGCCTGTGTGGGCTCGCTTAGCCCTTCTGCACTGTACACTTCAAACGGCTAAAATGGTGATTCTGTAACTAAATAAAACCACCCTTGAGATAAAAGTCAGTGTCACGGGGCTGAAGAACACAATGCCACAGCGTCAGTTTCAAGTGTCCCCACCTCCAGGCTCCCAGCTGGTGGTGCTATTCAGAAGGAGGTGGAATTTTTTTAGGCTTGGAAGTCACTGGAAGAAGTGGGACCCTGGAGGAGGACCTGGAGTCCTGTAACCCAGCCCCACTTCCTGTCATCCCTCTGCTTCCTAGCAGCTGACCATGTGACCAGCAGCCTCACACCCCCGTCGCCACGAGTTTCACACAAGTGCCCTGGATCCCTTCATAAATCCCGAGCTAAAATAAACCCTCCGTCTTTAGGTTGTTACTGTGAAGTAGTCTGTTACAGCAAGAGAGGTATCAAAGACACACAGAATCCTGGCAAATCCCCAACCGCAAACGAGAAATGGGCCCAGTAACAAGTAAAGGAAGTTGCTGCCTGTGGGAGGAAGGCAGTGATGGGCGAACCTGAAAACTAAGGTGGGTTTAACTCCCAGACGGGTATCCTAAGCTCTGTGTCTCCACGTCGTCATGGGTAAAGGGAACTGTGAGGGACCTGAGCTAACACGGGCGGGGCACTCCTCCCTGAGCCTGGCAGGCAGCGTAGTTCTCACAGACTGAGAACCTCATAGGCTGCCTTCCCACCATAAAGAACCCTTACTGCTGATCATCCTAGCAGTTCACTTCTGGTTCCCATGGTACTTTACAGTAACTTGTTAATGACTCCAATTAAGCAATTACTGTCTTCTTCACGCCCAGCAGTGGCCAGCTTGGGAGTCCTCTAAGAGATGCTAATCTTCGCATTAGTGCAGTGGGCATCTGCGCCCGTAATTATCACTCTGCCGGGTCTGCAGCACCTTTGCTTTCCCGAAGGATCCAGGTTACTCCTTTACTAATTGCTGAAGCCTCCCAATTATTTCGCATAATTGGCAGCTGGATACCTGCCTGTAACGTCAGCTCTCAGGAGAAGGAATGAGAACCTGAGGCCTGCCTAGGGCACCCAGGCTCGAGCACACACACAAAGGGAGCTGGATAACAGAAAACATGTGCTAACAGAAGGGACACAGTGTGTGAGCACGGGTCTGTCTTGTGTTTCTCCAACTCTATGCTCCCCAAGAGTGAAGACATGTATGATCCAGCACTCAGTCTCCTGTAGCTGGTGTGTGTGGGGGGGGGGGGGGGTCTATCCAATAAGAAACTTGCTCAGTTACTGAGGCAGAACAGAATCCCATTATAACATGAAACGTTACAGTGTGATACACAACTATTACTAATGGAGGATTGTGTGTCTATCAAGCCCTAGATTTTTTCTTCTCAAGACATGGTTTCTCTGTGTAGCCCTGGCTGTCCTGGGACTTGATCTGCAGACCAGCCGGCTGGCCTCAAACTCAGAGATCTGCCTGCCTTTGCCTCCCTAGTGCTGCAATCAAAGGTGTGCACCACCCCTGACCAGCCAACCCCTAGATTTAAGGCAGCAAATAGAAGAATGTATCTGGGCCAGACACATCGTTTCTCTTTATCTTAGGTCTAATTTGCCCTGGAATATTCTCACAATGCTTTTCCTAACCCAGGCATCTGAGGATCAGGACCCTGCGCTGAACAGCAGGTGCAGGGGTGGACTGCTGGGAGAGAGAGTCTCACGCTTTTGTTGTTTTGGTTACGAGGCAATCTCACAGTCGGTAGAAGCTACAAAAATTCCATTTTCAAGGAAATAAGCGAAATACTAATTTAATGTCTGCAAATCAAGGATTCTAACCTGTGAGGCAGAACATAAAAACGAGGCATTACCGGCCAGCTTCTGACACGTTAAGCAACCGTCATAGAGACCTATATTATTTCTACATTTCAAAAATAAAAATAGCAATCCCAAGTCACATTTTTTTAAAGGGTAAAAAATGCAAATGTGTATAATTGAGACTTCATCTGTGAGATGTGCTCTCTCTGGACTGCCGGGCTAGTCTTGCCGGCTGGTCTCAGAGTCCGTGGAATTCCAGTGGCCAGCCTCCCGCAAGGCTGCTCAGCTGCTCTCCACAAGGCCCCTCTTTTCATGTGGGCCTGGGGATGTTTTCTCAGACCTCAGCAAACAAGGCCCCTCGTAAGCCTGAATCCTGTAAGTGATCTTAGTCACCTGTGTTACACAGCAGGACACAGAGACACCACAGCTAACATTAAAGCAACTGTCCTGGGGCTTCTGGGAACCCCTCAAGAGTACTACCCACAATCACAGTAACCATGTCTGCAGAGTCCTCAAGATGAGGTGACCAGTGCAGAGGGAAGGCGGGAGGGGCACCTCCACTGCACCCCGGGGTGGCCAGTGCAGAGGAGAGGCGGGAGGGGCACCTCCACTACACCCCAGGCAGAGTATTGTTAACAATACCACTGAGGAGCAAGCCCTCTCCCTCCTCAGATCTCAGAAACACTCAACAGACCAACAGGCATGTGTTAACAGAAGTGCTTTGAACACAAGTCAATTATCTACAGGTCTTCTTAGCCATGGCTGCCACTGACGGCCTCCTTTGCCAGTAATAAATTCCTTTCTCACTGTGTGCTGAACTAAAGACACAGAAAGTAGGAACAGCCTGAGCAATGTGCCAGGAACAACAAGTTTCAGAGCACTAAGCTACTCCCAAAGAAAGCAGCAAACCTGAACTCTTATCCCTGCGAGGTCTCTCCCAGGGCAAGTGTCAAGTCCCATGCAGGCAGCATCTGTTTCTAAAAGTGAACCGTCTCTGACTCCTCTAATCCTGAAAGATGGTTTCGCTGGTACACACTAGGCGGAACCAAGACTGCCAGGCTCTGGTCTGGACTGGCTAGGGCTCCAGAATCTGTGCAACGCTGTATGAAATGTTTCGGCAATGGGTGCATTCTGACTCACAGACCCAGCAGCTCTGTCCTCCAGTTTGTCAGACGGACCTTAGTCCTTTCGTGCAGTCTTCATTAGTTCTTATAAAAATGCGACCAAGTCACAAGCATAAGCACGTAACAATGCAAACAAGTCACAAGCGTGTGCACATAACAATGTAACCAAGTCACAAGGTGTGCATGCACTATGTCACCCTCCCTATCTTCTCATGGGCATCTGTCTTTGTGCTGTTCTTTAGACTTTCTGTGCTCAGCATGTACCAGATGTGATATTTACCATGATGTCCACATCAGCAGTGCAGGGAAGGATGTCAAGAAAGAGAACCTTTCACACAGGACTCCCATTTCAAGCCAGAGTAAGAGTTAACAGAGGCGGAGGTGACATATGGTCACAACCCACTAGATGGCACTTTCCCTCAATTATAGCTACAAACCTTTACTGTTTCTCAAGAGTTCACCAACCGTACTTCCTGTTTGGAATAGCCACTGAGTTCTTCACAGGTGGTCCCACCTTATTGTTACTGAGAGAGCACCTGCTCCTGCAAGGTTCTCCTCCTCACAGAAACATTAGCTTCAAGACATTACCAGGACATCTGAATAGCCTAAAAGCCAGTCCACTTTCAGAGGTGGACCTGGGCAACTGTTGGCACCTGTGCAATACAGTGCCTTTTCAAAAATCATCTTTAGGGGCTGGAGAGATGGGAGGTTAAGAGTTACATGACCTGTCTTTCTCAGAGGAGGGTTCGATTTTCAGCACAAACAAGGTGACTCACACACAATCTGATACCTTCTTCTGGGCTTACAGGCAACTGCATGTACTTAGTACACTGACATACATGCACGCAAAATATTCACACCCATAAAATGAAATAGGGGAATTTGTAAGCTATCTTTAGCGGTAAGAGGCATTTGGTCTTAGATTCTGCCTTGCAAGGTTTATTATTATTATTTTGTTTTTGTTTTGTTTTCTGTTGTTTGATCGGCTAGTCCACGCTCTGGGTTTTGGAATACACACAGAAGATGGCAGCACAGAGACGTAAAGTGCAGAGCCTACCATCTGACTCTGAAGCCACTCGACAAGCGTCTCTGCCGTTGAGTCTGGGATCTGGCATCTCAGCCCTTCCTTCTCATCTGTTTCCATCATCTCCAACAGTCCACGCAGGTCTTCCACGAGGTGTAAAGCTCGCAAGCTGCCCATGAACGGAGAGGTGGGAGACTGGCAATCAAAAATCCCGTTGGAATATTCCAAGGCTTTGGAACCTGGTTTTGAAAAAAAAAAACCAGAAAGAGCAATCGGATTTATGGTAGGTAAAATACGACACCTGAAAAAGATAAACCAGTCTGGTCACCAGCAATGATCACAACAAACAGGGAAAGGACAAAATAATTCAATCATGTAAACCTCTCCAAATATTACATAGTTGAAAAAATGTCATTGACAGTAAATATGAATGGTGTGATGCCTAACAAAAAGGCCAGCTGCGGGGACAGAAGGAGAAGGAACACAGGCTCAGGAGGAGGTAAGAAAGAGGTGGATGACCAGTTCAGGTGGACTCATGACTCCCAGAGCATGAATTTGAGACACGAAGTCTTGGAGTTCCCTGAAGCTGAGTATGTGTGTAAGAGGTAATGCTCCATTGATGGAAGTGGGTCTTGTATCTATCTGTTGCTTTCATTTGTTAACTAATAAACTGCTTGGCCTTTGATAGGACAGAAAATTAGGTAGGCGGAGTAAACAGAACAGAATGCTGGGAGAAAGAAGCCGAGTCAGGCAGGCGCCATGAATCTCCCACTCCAGAGAGACTCAGGTTAAGATCTTTCCTGGTAAGCCACCTCGTGGGCTACACAGAATATTAGAAATGTAAGAGCTAGCCAATAAGAGGCTGGAACTAATGGGCCAGGCAATGTTTAAAAGAATACAGTTTCCGTGTAATTATTTCAGGTAAAGCTAGCCGGGTGGCAGGAAGTGGCCCGCCGTTTCTTACTACACTCCATGAGCTGCATGTACCTCCGTGTGTGTGAGCATCTGTGTATAAGCGTGTCCTCGGTCATTCTGTTTATAGCCCAGCACCAAACTTCTAGTCAACATTAGTTTTCAAAATCAGTGTTCTAACCACATGTGTGCACCTTTAATCCCCGTACGAGGGAAGCAGAGGCAGACTGAGCTCTGTAATTAAGAAGCCACCCTGGTCTACATAGTGAGTTCCAGGTCAGCTGGACTACACAGAAAGACCCTGTCCCAGAAAAAAAGTATGGTGGTCTGTAATTCTAGTATGTGGGAGGCCTGTAGCTTGATGAGAAGCCTGGGTGGGGGTGGAACTGGCAGAGTTGGAGAAGCAGGACCAAGGGGAAAACCTGGGGGTCCGAGAAGCACTCAAGAGAGCCAGTAGAGAGGGAGCAGGGGACGGTGAGTCCGGGTCGGGCTGTGCCGCGTGGGTTACCTGCTATGATCCCATCCATCTGCTCCAGCGCCGCGGCCAGCATGTCACTAGCGTCGGTCATCATCGTCCTGTCTGTCAGGGGCAAACTCCAGCTTTATCTGGGGAGGACAGAAGACCACAATGTTAGCACTGCACACTGTAAGCGACGCATGCCAGGTTTATTAATTCTATTTCAGGCGATAACTCCACTTAGCAATCACAGGATGTCAGAAGAAGCATGGAGCTGAATGAACTGGAGCCCTAAATCACCTGCACACCAGCACCAGGTAATAAGAGAAGATTGGGATCGTCCACTCGAGGTTGTTCAGAGTCCAGCAGAGAGCTGGGAGCAAAGTTCAGTTCCCCCAAACTGTACAACGTAGTCTGGTAGGATGGTATCCACACCACCCTTCAGAGTTCCAGGTCCCTGTGAAGGACACAGGGGTACTACGGAAGGCTGCTGAGGCCAGGAGGGTGCAGACAGCCTGAAGGACACAGGGGTATCCATGGAAGGCTGCTGAGGGTCAGGAGGGTGCAAACAGCCTGAAGGACACAGGGGTATCCATGGAAAGCTGCTGAGGGTCAGGAGGGTGCAAACAGCCTGAAGGACATAGGGGTATCCATGGAAGGCTGCTGAGGCCAGGAGGGAGCAGACTCCCCTGGGTATTCAAGTTCCTTATATAAAACTGCACAGTATTTGCACAGAGGACTTTGAAGTATCTCACGATTACTTAACAGTATTTAACCCAATAAAAGTGCCTTGTAACTAGACGGTACCCTGCATTCTTTGTGGGTCAAATGATAAGAAAACAAGTCTGCACATCATCAATAGGAATGTGTCTTTTCCAAACACTTCTGATCTGCAGTGAATTAACTGTACTGCAATACACACGCACACACACACACACACTTTTTAATATGCCAATAGGTACCATGCACTGAGTGGGTGTAGCAGCTCCCCACGGTGTACATAAATCATTCACAAACCTTGGATTTTGTTTCTGTTTCACGGTACTACGGCTCAAACCCAGGGCTGGGTGTGCCGGGCAAACACGCTCGACTGAGCTACAGCCCCATTAGCTGAAACTTTTAACCACTACAACTACTCAGTAAAATGAGTTAGCTTTTCCGTTTTATAAAAGAGGACTGGTAGTGTTTGAAACTTTTGTGGAAAACAAATACAGAAGTTTTAACAAAGATCTGTGTGCCGTCCACTGCAGGCTGCATTTCTGTCTATCTGGTTGCACCTTGGCGGGACACTTACTCTGCACAGTCTACCACGGTCTTACTGGTCAGTTATCTACTGAGCCGGGTCTCACTATGAAGCCCCACCTAGCCTGGAACTGGCAATGCCTGGCCTCTAACTCAGAGATCCTCCCACCTCTGTCTCTCGAGCACTGGGAAAGGTGCATGCACATGGTTTCACGGACTAAAAGATCAAGAGAAAGTGCGTTTATCAGAGCACTGGCCAGCAGCAGAATGGGCACTACACGTGATTTTCACATTCTTTGTGGCATTTTTGGTACCAGCACCCACACAGATTCTCCCAGCAGGCCGAGATGAAGCTGCCGTCATGCTGTAGACACGGTGGTGGAGTAAACAATGAAGAAGTGAAGGGCATGCCGCTCTAGGGAAACCTTTGCCCTCTGTTTCCAAGCACCCAGAGACCTCACGCACCACTCTGTGTTCATAACGATATTTATAGGTCTGCTATCAGCTTCAGAATCAGCTCTTATGGTCCACTTTTTCTAACAAAATTCCGCACAACTCTGAAATGCTATTTTTGTTTTGTTTTATTACTAACTTACAATAAAAACAAGTATTTATTTGATAGGTAAAATACTTCAAAATTCTGGTATACCATATTCAGATTTATAATTTTAAGAACTCTAGAATCTTACTTCAGAAGGTATAAAATTTCACTATCGTTTTATGTAAAAATAATTAGCACAGTAATACCCAAGTACATGCATACAGCCAAGGGGCTACATTATAACCTAAAGGTTTTAAGAGTTTACTCATGTGGCCAGGTGTGGTGGCATTATCTCTTCAATCTCAGAAGCAGGCAATCTCTGAGATCAAGGCCAGCCTGGAAACCCTGCCTCAAAACAAACAAACAAACAAATAAATAAAATTTACTCATAGCCTTCGGTGGGCACAGACAACAGAGGTGGTGGACAATCTTAACAATGACACCAACTAGAAAACTCAAATGTTACAACTCAGAGCAGAAAGGATTAAGCAGAAGGGTGTGTGCACGCCCTAAGCTTCATAATCAAGTGGGCTCCGTTCCTTTTCCTTTTAAAAATAGAAATTATATATATATACATACACACACACACACACAACTGGCCATCTTTTAAACTCTTTCTCTCTCTTTTAATATGTACATACAAGACAGAAACACACATGAGGCTCGCTCCCCTAAAAATGTGGGAATATTAGTTCAACAATAACAACCAAAATAAACAAAACAAAAAACAAAATTAATGCCTACATCAGAAAAACATGCTCACCAAAATCAATAAAAAAAAATAAAAAGAAAAAGAAAAATGGCCACGGTCTCACTGAGCCAGAAGAACAAACACATCTTTGAGAGCAGTTCCATCTGTATGGACATAGCAGCGTTTGGGGCTGGGAACCGCAGCTCCGTGCTGGGTGCTGTCTGACAAGCGTGAGCCCTGAGTTTGATTGGCAGCAGCACAAGAACAAAGCTAAGCAAAGCAACAACCCACTGCTTTCCCAGGGTGGTAGGGAAGGGTATCCGGCCTGCATCCTTGCCAGGAGCCCACTGAGTACTGTGACATGGAGGGCTGAGACCCCCTGGAGCACAGCTGTCAACATGGAGAAGGGTCAGCTTTTTACAAGTTTCCAATTCACGAAACCCATCCCTTCGTTAATAATAAAATGTGGCATAGTAAATATCTATAATACAGGTCTATTCTTTACAGGAACAAAGGAACAACCCAGCACTCTTCACAACGAGGAGGGATAAGCTGTTACACATGACCAGGACAGTGTGACGTGAGGGTGTGAACAGCCTGACAGCAGTGTAATGTGTACAGTCGGAGAGTAAACACAAAGGCTCCCCAAACTCTCAGCAAAGTATTTTACAAAGGTTAAGGCAATTAAACAGTCCTACGCAATTATGTGTGTATGTGTGTGTTAACTAATATGTATACTGCAAATATGTATCAATTATATATACATACATACATATATTAGAAATAAATACACAGTCCATTTAACTATGCAAAAGGGAAAAGGGGGCTAAGGCTACTGGACAGTAAAATGGCTATCAGATTACTAAAATTATCAATGGGGAATTCCAATTCTGGTCATTGGCAGGCTGAATATGTTGAGCGAACTGGATGCTAAATGAAATATAGAAACAGCTCTGAAGAAAGTAAGGAGAGACTAAAGGTAGGCTGGACTGGGCAAAGGGAGCTCCTACCACAGTGAGATTCCTAAGCTCCCTGTGGGCATGCCCAGTCATACTCCACCCACCATCCCCACTGCAGTAAAAACACAGTGTGGTCTGGAAATATAGGGCAGTGGGGGAGGAGGGCGGGGGAGACAGAAAGACAGGTATGCAGAGGTGGGGGTGGGGAGTGACGGGTAAGGGGAGCAAGCTGGCTCAAACTGGTCCTCCTGACTTTGCCTCCAGGGTAGCTGGGACTACAGATGTAGGCCACTATACCTGCCAGGTAGAGTTAACAGTGTTAAGAGTTAGTTTGCCAAGAAGTCATAATGAGTAGAGATGTTTTTACAACTTAGTATGAAAGCTTTAAAATACACAACGCAAAAACTGGCAGAATTAAGGAAGAACCACACAAATTTAGCTCTTTTATATTTAAGGTGATTATTAAGGACTGAATGTAACTATTATACCATTTTTTTTTTTTACCCCAGGTCTCATTTTTCCTCCTTTCTGTTGGGATGTCAGGCAAGGGTGGATAGACCCTAATACAGAAGGTTTGAGCAATTCCATCTTGGACTAACTCAAGTTATAGAACAAAATGCCTAAATGCAGATTATACACTGCTGTGGGATAATGCTCTTGTGCTCTGTAAAGATTTGTCATCCATATTGGTTTCATAAAATGCTGATTGGCCAGTAGCTATGCAGGAAGTATAAGTGGGGCGACCAAATTAAGAGAATTCTGGGAAGAAGAAAGACTCAGTCTGCGGTCGCCACCTAGACGCAGAGGAAGCAAGATGAGAATGCCTCACTGAGAAAAGGTACTGAGCCATGTGGCATAGATAAGAATTATGGGGTAATGTAAGTTGTAAGAGCTGGTTAGTAAGAAGCCTGAGCTAACAGGCCAAACGGTGTTGTAATTAAAACAGTTTCTGTGTGATTATTCAGGTCTGGGTCACTGGAAAACGAATGTGTAGTCTCTGTTTACAACACATTCTTCAAAAGTCTGCATGCTACATTCATTACCCTGAGACATAGATACATCATTCTAACATACTTTGTGTATCTACTTACTTCTGACAAAACCTCAGGTGTACAGAGGAGGGCTCATCTGGGATGTGAGTCAGGGATCTCTCACATGCTAAACAAGAATCATACCCCTAAACCAAGGAGCCGTCATAAAAGCACAGATGCAAAACCACAAAATATACCTCTAAATTTCAAATGGGTTTTAAAGGACTGCTGGAAAGCTCAGAGAAAACAGCTAGATGCTATCAAGTATATCTAATAAATGCTTCCTTGCCCACGGAGGAGCTATTTAAGATGCAGTCCAGTTTAGACAGCATGTGTTGATAAAGCTATGTTAATTTTTATGGCTCAGCTGGAGAGTTTTTAAAAGTGGAAATGCTAAATAAAAACATTTTAGAAAGCTCTATGCTCTGAAAAATATTTTATGTACTCAAAAAAATTTTTTGAGGAAGATTTCCAGAGATCCCTCCAGCAACTAATTAATATAATGGGATATTATTCTGACACAATGGAAATTACGATTTGACTGACAAGGAATAGTGAGCAACATTCTAGTGCAAGAAAGCAGACACTGATGACCATCACGAGTCCTTTAAGATGAAGGCTGTGAGCAAGCCGTATCTTACAGAAAGTGAAATAATTACCTATAACTAATGGATAGATGAAGAAT